CAAAAAATGTTCAACTTTGTTCTAAGAAGTATTGTCATAACTTTAAAAATAATGGAGTTATGGCTTGGGGCGTTTTTCATAATACAGCCTGTATAAATAAACCATAAATTTACAAAATAAAATTCAAGTTTCTGGATTTACATTTCGCAAATCTTTCTATAGTATTTTGTACATTAATTTTAATATTCCTGTGAATATGAAGCAGTACCAGTCCGGTAAATCTCTTCTCTACAGGGTGCGCCAGAACTCGCGCCCCAGAGAAAATTTTCATGTCAGGTAAGATACCAGGAACATGAAAAAAATGTTTAAAAAAACAAGTTTCATTTACGCCTTTGATCCAATTTCAATTAGGATTTGCAATTTATCATCACTGTTATTCAGAGAAGGTGTTATTCGCATTAAGCACAAATATAAATTGTACCTAAAAAAACTTGTTTTAAGTCTGCAAAACTACATTCCCGGAAACGACGGTGACGCGACGAGACGCTGGTTTGTATATTTTCCAAGAATTTCATAAATTCGCCGTTTTTTATTTAAGAGATAAATAATAATAAACGTGTCTGTTGTCTTCAATTTCACACCTATGCTCGCCGTTAAAAAAAATGAAAAAAAAAAACAATTTTTTTTTCAATATACGTTGTGATTTTTTTTTAATTCAATGTATTTAAAAATAAAAAACTGAAGCCTCTGGTGGCAAGTTTGGATCCGCCATTGGTTTCCTAAAAGCACAAAAAATTGATCTAGCATTGTAAAAATGTCCAGTTTAAAAAGGTGTTTTCCTAGAGTAAATTGATTGAATTATTAAAAAAAAATCAAAATGCAGAATGTTGCATCTAGATTTTTTTAACTTTTAAACTGTGTCAGGGTGGTTTTGAAATAACAAACAAAATTTTACAGAGTTTTAGTTCATACTATACAGGATGTTCGGTCCAAGTCGCCCCGGCTGATAACACCTAAACTTACTTCTTTTTTTCAAAAAGTATATATTTAAGTACTAATATTCATTCTTGGCTTTCTTAATAAATGTATCAAATTTTTTTTGGCGGTGTTGCCGGAAATGCTACCAAATTTAGTTTTTCAAATGGAACACCTATGTTTTTTTTCCTTCAAACAATAATAAGTGACATGAAAAATACTGGAAACCACTATTTATTACATTTTGCGTAACACAATGCAATCAAAAAACATCTTAAATCTTAGAATTTTATAAGGAAATTGGTCACCTAGCTTGGTTTTTAATTTTAAAGGAAAGGTGTGAATAAAAAAAAATGCTTGGATACAGTTTTATTTTTGGTTTAACAAATATAATTTGTCAGTTGATGAGCGAGTTCTCTTATGGAAACTCTTCAATTTTCTTCGACTGATAACAGAACACTCAGATTTCTATCTTCTTGTTCTTCAACCACAGGTTTTTTAGTTTTAAGAAGCGAACCTATTTGTGTCAGTTGTTTTTCAATTCGACTAAATTTCCAACAATATGGATGAACTCTATTTGAGTATTTTTCTCTATACTGTCTTTCAACTTCCGCTCTATTTTTATTGCACTTAAAAACACTTCAAGCTTATCTACCAATTCGTCGTAATTAATATCATCCATTATTAAAGATCTCAATAAGATTTTTTGACAAATTAGGCTTTGTCAAACTAACAATTAAACGGTATCCAAGCATATTGCTTTTTGCATGAACACCTTAACAAGTATAATCCGCCTACGTTGCAAAATTTGCAATAAAATTCAAAAATTTAAATTGTTTTCTGTGTGCATTATGTAAAAGTAAAATGTAATAAATAGTGGTTTACCGTATTTTTCATAAAAATTATTATTGTTTCGAGCAAAAAAAAACATAGGTGTTCCATTTGAAAAACTAAATTTGGTAGCATTTCCGGCTTCACCGGACGTGCCAAAAAATTTGATGCATTTACTAAGAAAACGAGGAATGAATAGTATTATTTGAAAAACTAGTTTTTGAAAAAAAAAAAGTAAGTTTAGGTGTTATCGGCCGGGGCGACTTGGACCGAACACCCTGTATACCAAAAAAAAGTCTTAAAAATCTTTTTTTTAATTACTTTGGAAGTTAACAGAAAGTTATTATTCTTTCTCAGTTTTAGTGCGAGTTACGAAAAAGTTTATGTCGTTATGTAGTGAATATCACCAAGCAATATTCGGATCATAAATCACAGTTCTTAAATATGCCATCTCAAAGAATACAGGGTTCACCAGAACTCGCGCCCCAAACTTTCAAGTAAGACAACATGAACACGGAAAAAATTCTATTTGTCAAAAAATTTTGACATTTATTTTTTAACATTTGACTTTTTTTTTGTCTATTTAATGACACTGATGATATTGTATATGTTTTTTTTTATAATTATTTAGTAAAAGAAATTTTACCAATAAAAGCCACAAATAACATTAAACAGAGTTACAATTTAGGATAGAGTTTCCTTGTATCCTCTTCTAATAGCTTCTAGCAAAAAAAACTTGGAAAATTATTTTTCCAACAGAAATAAATAGAGTCAAAGTGCAAACTTTAAACCCTCATAACTTCTAAATTTTTATAGCTAGAATTTTTTTAACATTTTTTTGATGTTCCTGGTATCTTACTTTACATGGCATTTTTCTCTGGGGCGCGAGTTCTGGCGCACCCTGTATATCATCCATTTTCAAAAACTGATGCAAGATTTCCAAATTTGAAGTTTTGAATAGTACTGACAGTGACTGTCATGTACAGCTGTCAAAGTCAGGTTACCGAAAGATAGAGTAATCAGACGTACCATTTAAAAAATAAATTCAGTATTGCCAACAGACTAAGTCATTCGGGATCACTTTGTATTTTGATTTTTGCATGTCTTTCACCGTTTTTTCCGAACACTTGTCTTATATACTATACTTTCTAAATTTTTGTAGACTTACAAAATTTTTATTAAAAAAATACAAAGTTGGTAAAATTTACTAAATGTTACATTAAATAAGATTTAAAAAGTTTTTATGTTTTTAAATAAATAAAAGCAAGTGTCAAAACACGAATACAGTTCGATCAAAGCAACCCACTTGACTAAAAATCCGAATTTCTTCCACAAAACTGTCTTTTGCATCCAGTAATGTTCAAATCCGGTCACGTTTGTTCCCACTTTGCAAAGCATCCCTTCCTAATAAGGATGCAGTTCATTCCACTACCCCTGAAAGATTCACCATCCAATCACCACGATTTTCTGGTCTGATGATGGCGAATTCAGTCTGTTTGTTTCGATTTTCCCGGACTCGTGTTTGGAATTTACAATAAATAAATCAGTTGCACAGTAAAAAATTACGCTTTGCGTGGGTGATTTTTATTTTGAATATTCTAGCCACAAGAGAACAAGCTTACGTGTATGCCATAAGCTCAGCAGCATTAACATACACGATGGCACGTGCCTGTGCCAGCGGCACCCTTTACCACTGCACGTGTGCCGGTAAACCTGATGAACCCCCAAACAGTAATTTCCAATGGGGCGGCTGCGGCGACAACATACACTGGGGGGTGTATTTTGCGAAAAGATTTATCGATAATGTGGAGAAAAACAACGTCGATAAGAGCAGGAAACGAAGAAAGGGGTACGAGTATGAGGAAGAAAGGAAGAGTAAGCTGGTGAGGGAAGAAGTCGCAGCAGTCAACTTGCATAATAATCGCGTCGGAAGACGAGTAATGATCTAATTTTTATTTTTTAGATTTCTTTAGTTGAAATTTTAGATTATAAGAGAAAGTATACAAACGCAATGTAAATGTCATGGTGTTTCCGGTTCTTGTAATATTAAAACGTGTTGGAAGGGTTTATCACCGATGCTTGATATAGGACGAAAGTTGTTGAAACAATATACAAATGCTAAAGAAGTGTCTCGATTTTATGTTGAAGGCAATTTGGGAAAAACACGAATTTCTGATCACCTATTATATCTTACGAAATCGCCGGATTATTGCACTAGAGATGTTAAGCTGGGAAGTTTTGGCACCGTAGGAAGGTAAGACCGCTTATACTGGGTGATTTTAAGTCAAAATAACTAAATTTGCCTTTTCCGAATGTTTATTGTTTCTGAGAAAAAATGTTAAAAAAATACAATATCAACGAAGTTTCAACCCTTTGAGTACTTTATCCCAAAGTTTACATTGTAATCGGTAACATTTGAGGTAATGAAATTGGGTGATATCTTCAACAACCAAAATTATTGATATAAATTTTTACCGTTTTATGATTTTTTTTTAGATGAGGACACTTTTTTGTGTCCTATTTTTGCTAATTTTAACCCATTTTATTAAAACAATGTAATAAATTTTTAAGATCTAACCTCAGAGATCATATTTATTTGTAGTTTGAAATGGTGAAGTTTAAGGCTGCGCCCCAAATTTAAATTTATTCAACGAGCAAAACACTTTGTGTCTCAAAAACTAAGAACATTCGGATAAGACAAATTGAGTTATCACCTGTTAAAATAGGTATTTGCACATATTTTAAGATCACCTGTATTTTGACCTTAAATTTTTTTTCTACGAGCTTGACACAAAATAAGTTTTCCACTGTAATTTCCAAAAGGAGAGTGGCCCAGGGAGGTAAAAATTTTCCTCCCTCATCTGTCAAAATTACATTAGAAATACAGTAAGCGGCAAAATTATGGTATAATTTTATTTATTAAAACTGAAAATGTTTTATTAATTTTTTATTTAAAAAATACAAAACTCTCAACTTGATTTAAAATTGTATGTTTGTTTTTTGTGGATATTATTTAATTTTTTTGTGATTTTTTTCGAAAACATTATGTAATATTTAATATTTTGGTGTTGTAATTTCGACCATTAAAAGACTTATCGAACTGGCTAAAGGGTTTCCATTTTTTTTTAAATGATGTTGATGAGGTTATTACTCAAAAACCAAAAAGTGTAAAATTCCAAATCAAGTTGAAATTGACCTGTTTTGTTTGCCAAAAAAAAATATTTTCAGTTTTAATAAGATTATTCCATAATTTTTCCGCACACTGTACCCAGTGGGGCATCCGTTACGCACTGAAAAGAAATCACCACTTCTAATTAAATAAAATTGTTGAAATTTTTCATACTGACTTAGGCATTGATAAGGTACATTTCTTACTTTTTTGGTAATTTTTCATTCACAAACAAAGCCAAAAAAAAAACGTAATTTTCTCCCAAAAAATTTTATTCTAATTTTTATACTGACCTACGTAGATTCACTTCCTACAATTGTTTACAAAATCAGAAAAAAAAATACCAATTAGATTTTGAATTAAACGCAATTTTCCATTTTAACTTTGAAAATCATTTTTATTTGCTAATTGTGCCATCGTAAATTTAAGTGACAATGGGGAACTGTAATTCAACAATAAGAGACTTCAAAGTGGTCGGCTACCAGTAAATGATTCTTTTGTTGACAAAATATACCATTTAGTCATAAATCACGGGTCTGGTTTGTGTTTAAATAAAAAAACGATTATTTAGCTAAAAAAAAATTGTTTGGCAAAATTTGTAATTGTGATATCAGTTTGATGCGCTAGCAGACATAAAGTATTCATAAAACACACAAAACTGTTACGGCTTCACTTATTATCAAAAAATTAGAAAAATTCTCAAATATACCCTATCAACAATTAGTTAGGTATATGAAATATCGCCAGTTTTAATTAATTAGAAGTCGCGATTTATCAAGTGCGCGTAACTGATGCCCCACCCGGTATATATGTGTAATCTCTTAGGGAGGTAAAAATTTTAATTTTACCTCCCTCAAAGAAACGGAAAAACATGCTGCTGTTTGTAATGGCAAAACTGGGTTATCAAGAAAAAAAAATTTTCTGACTGAATAAAAAAAAAATAAAAAATATATGTACTACACTGGAGGAAAGTGTCTTTTTCTCCCTCCCAATTACACTGATTAAATAAAGACTAAACATTAAATCTCTGATTTTATTTATTCTTTCAGAAAATGCAATGTTACCACAAATGAAACAAACAGTTGTCGTCAATTATGTTGTGGAAGAGGTTACAGAACCCTAGTGGAAGAAAAACTGGAAAGATGTCACTGCAAATACTACAACTGTTGTTACGTCAAATGTAAAATTTGTAGAACCAAAACACAAATTTACGAATGTGGTTGAACACCAAATACTTCGAGTACGAAACAATAAAAAAAACTTCAGCCGTACTTTACAAATAATGAAATCAATAATGTATAACCGTGCAATAATTACATCATTAGGTGACATACCCTTAGCGTTCTACGTGTAAACCATTATAATTAGACCTTAATTACGTAGAAACTGTGAGTACTGTAAAACAATCAACGAATTTACTTTTTAATATTTATTTTAAAAAATTTATGTACATACTTAACATACCTAATAAAATTAATTTACAAAGTAATCATAACTCAGTATGCCTATCAGTCGTATCTGAAAAAAAAGACACTTATTACACTCAATTTCACTAAGAAGCTCTCTCACCTGGTATATGGTTTTCAGGGTCAGGATCCAAAACCCCCGAATCAATTTTCTTCTGCAGTTGTCTAATTTCCTCATCATAACCTTTCCACTCTGGTAAAATCCTCATAGCAGCCGTCAACTTCGCTTCCTTAGTCATAGGATTATTGCACTACAAACCCCATTAAAAAAACACAAATCACATAAAACCCACATACCAAATCGATAGTTTTCGCTCTAGCTTTCGACTCATCATCACACCACGTTTCACACCACAACCATTCCTGAGGCAAGGATTTAATCCCAACTTGGTGTATCATATTATTCGGCAAGTCTTGATCCAAATTGGATAAACTGTTCGGATCTTGACTCAGAGCTTGGTATTGGCCTCTGAGTCGATCCCCAGCTGCGATTCTCCTAAACCGTTTCAAATCCACAACATAGAGAGCCGAAATATGATATTTACGGCCCTGTAAATGGTTCCTCCAATAACCGTGTTTCCAAAACCGAAAACCGTCCATTTCTTTCCGCGAATCACAAAACGGAGTATAACCATAAGGAGCTCCACCTAGGTCTAATTCTTGCAGTTCTTTCAAATCTGCTCGAACCACTTGATCAGCATCGACGAAAATTATTTTTTTCACATCTAGAGGGAAAAGTACGTCTAAAAAGAGGATTTTGTAACCCCAGATGATTCGTTGTTTCTCAGTTTGTTGGTGGAGCCATCTGGGCCATTTATACTGAACTAATTCGTACTCAAAACCGTATTCCTTAGCCATATATGGAAGGAAATCCTACAATACATTATAAAGACGATACACCAAACTGAAGATTTTATTTAGTACAAACCTTGATTTGTGGAGAGAGATAATTTTTCAAAAACCAGAATTTTACAGGTGTCTTGGTGTGTTTCACGACTGACAACATCATAATTCGTAAAAATCGCTCGTAAAGGTGACCAGAAGCAACAGAAAATATGTTGAGTTTGTCGTCAGGTTCTTCTTCGTTCTTCGAGAAGGAACTAAAAAAACTCATCAGACTTGAAATTGGAAAACAAAACATAACAAAACCAAAGCTTTGAAACTATCATTACGCATTACACACAGCCATTTCTTTTACAAAACAAAACACAAACGTGTAACTAAGATTTTAACATTTTCAAAAAGAATTATCAAAGAAGAATCTATACTTTCTAAATACTTCTTTATCTGCATTACAATTAAAAAAAGGTGAAGAAACTGATTTAGCATAGATGAGAAAAAACAATCAATTCTTTTATATTCGAAGTTGATCGTTGAAATTAGCGAATTTCTGAATATTATACAGGTGCGCCAGAACTCGCGCCGCAGAGAAAATTTTCAAGTAAGGTAAGATACATGAAAAAAATGTTTAAAAAATTCTATCTGTCGAAAAATTTTGACATTTATTTTTTGACATTTGACATTTTTTTATATCTATTTAATGATACTGATGATCTTGTATATGTTTTTTTACAATTACTTAGTAAGGGGACAAAATTTTTGCCAATAAAAGCCACAAATAACATTGAACAGAGTTACAATTTAGGATACAGCTTCCTTGTTTCCTCTTTTAATAGCCTATAGCAAAAAACTTGGAAAATTATTTTTTCAACGGAAATAAATAGAGTCAAAGTGCAAACTTTAAACCCTCATAACTTCGAAATTTTTATAGATATTTTTTTTTAACATTTTTTCCATGTTCCTGGTATCTTACCTTATATGGCATTTTTCTCTGGAGCGCGAGTTCTGGCGCACCTGTATAAACATGTTTAGAAAGCTGAATTTTTAATGAACAAATAATTTGAACGAAATGTTTTTTTAATTAAGTGGGAAAATGGGAAACAAAAAAGATTCATGCAATTTGAACGCCCTTGAGAATGAATCAAATTTCACACAAAATCAATACAAAACACAATCGAAGAAAATCTTTAATTACCTTGTAACAGTTCTGATCGCATGCGAATATAGACTACCATGCAAATACACATTTTAATGAAGTAAAGAAACAAGAATGAACAAATCCTACCTCGTAATAGAATTCCAAATACCCGAGTTTGGTTCATCTTCAGACAACAAATCCATGTTAAACTTATCAGGCTTTTTCTGAACTCGTAATTTAACTATATGAGATCTCAGAGTGCTTATAAGTACTTTAATATCGGAAGAATTTGCAGGAGTATCACTTCCGTCATGACTAAAAATTTTTTGTTTTAATTGTGTCTAAAAAACGAGATAAGACCTACCTGACAATATCATAAATTTCGGCACTCCTGCCTTGCCTCAGCCTCAAAATCCAAGCACCAGGATTGGCTTTCACTTGAAAATATCCCAAATTTGCCATGACAATTGTATCAACAATGACAGGTTGACGTTCCGTTCCTAGAGTTATTTGAAGACCTCTTGGAGGACTTCCTGTGGTCGCTTCAAAACAGTGACCCTCAAGTAAAAGATACTCCAACTCATATTCGCTAGACGAGAAAATTTTAAAACCAATAAAATTATTACAAATGTGAAAAATACCTATGAACGTTGTTATCAACATCCTCAAGTCTGATATTATCAAGGTCATAAACCGACCTCACAACTTCCACCAACCAATTTTCAGGCACGTGGTAATTCTGAGTAAGAAGTGGCGAAGTTGGCATGTTATTAAACCGGGCGATAGGACCAGCTGTTTGTTTGCCATCGTCCGTAAATTGGATTTCCGGTTCCAAAACAAATCGATAAAAACTAAAAATCGGTGTTAGAGAAAAATAAAAATTTATCAAATTGAAACCTTTTAACTGGCATGTCACTATTTTTCTCAACACTATTTAAAAATACGCGAATATTAACATTGAGCACCTCTTGGAGTACTTGCAAAATGGGGCCTACTTTTTGGGCTCCGCGTGAAACAGGGTCTACCACAGCGACGATATCAAAAGCGACTTTATCGGGATGTGTCGCTGGAATTTTTAATACAGAATGTTCGTCACCACTGAACTGAATTTCAAATCGGGTACGAGACTGAGGCCTTGATACTAACAACGAAATGACTTTAAGTAGCGAATTGCTTGAAAGTTCTACAAAAAAAAATATATTTGCAAAACGAGCGTAACGAATGAGTGAGTGAATTACCTTCTTCCTCATCCGATGATTTGTCAATCGCTTTCTGTATTTTTTCCAAATAACTAGCAAAACTAAACCGTTCCAACAACCCAAAATCCTCAATTGTGAAACTTTCATCGACTTCGAGAGGCCCCAAAAGCCGTCCATTGGCAACTATAGCTCTTTCGCCCCCATTTAAATTCAAAACGCGTCTACTGTAAACCCTCAACATTTTCAAATTGAGCTCGTGGTTGTTTACTTTACCCGAAAATTCGGACTGAAAATTTTAATTTAGTACAGGCTGTTATGGCTAAACCCCACATTAGAAGTATTGAGAGTTCTAATAATGATATTTATTTAAAATTTTGTTTATAGCAATAATCGGTCAGATCCTGCTCAATAAAAATATTTTGAAGATGAACTTCTTTATTTTAAATAGAAAGCTATGTTTGAGTGAGTAAGTGATTATGAGAGGGTTTTTATTAGCCTTTCCCATACCTAAGTTTAACCGTTTTCAAAATATTTAGACTTTTTTGGATTTGCACCTTTCTATTCAAAAATCGATAACTCTACTATTTTTCATTATTTTGAAATCGTATTAGGTATATGAAAGAGAAAGGTTACATCTTTCTTTTGGTGAATTCATAATTGCAAAAAAATAATAAACAAACCCCCAAAATTTAAGGTTACGTGGGGGAAACTTCAAATATATAAATAACTCAACTTTTCTAAATAAAACGCCCCAATTTTTTTCCACTAAATGGAGGAGAATTTAATTCTGCTTCGATATGTATTGCCATCCCCTATACCTATGTTTAATAGTTTTTAAGGTATAGTAACTTTTTTGATGTTGTGAGAAATTCATTAGCCAAAGTTACTTTAGCAATGAAATAAGAAAAAAAATACAAAATCAAAGTTATTTAAATTAAGATTAAATAATAGTTATTTATTGTAAGAGTGTGTTAGGTACCGTTTTATCCACGCAAGAATGGTTAATTTTCTTAACTGGATAAAACGAGACTAACACACGACTGCAATATAACGTTTTATCCACAATCACAGGCCCAAATTATCCCAAGCTTAATTAAAAATTAAACTGACATTTAAACGTCACGCCAAATGTGCTTTCGGTTAAACGTAGTAAGCTGTTACACGGTGCACTGGGTACTAACAGTGGAATAAAGTTACTTTATTCCACTAGTGGATAAAGTTGTACTTTATACGCATCTAAAGTGTGGAATAAAGTCTCTTTATAGTGATTGTGGATAAATTTAATTTGTATTTACGAAAAGGATAACACAATTGTGAAAAAAATGGCTTTTTTTAGTGAGAAATATTTCCATGACAAACTATGGATAGGAATGCGGATTTCTTCCATTGTAAAAAAAGCATGATAATTTGGAAATCATTAAACTTTGAAATAGAGAATGTTCACATAAATCGATACAGAATTAAATTATCTTTCATTCATTCATTCCTTTTCTTAATTATTTTTCCAAGTTATGAACACCAAAGACATGATCTAACCTTTCTTTTTTATATGTTCAAATACGATTTTGAAATTATAAAAAATGGTAAAGTTATCGATTTTTGAATAAGAAGGTGCAAATTCAAAAAATGTCAAAAAAGTCTAAACATTTCAAAAACACAATAAAAAACACAGCTTTCTATTTAAAATAACGAAATTGATACCCACTTTCGGTGTAACCCAAAGTGCCGCCATCTTGAAAATATTTTCATTGAGCAGAACCTAACCGATTATGATTCTAAACAAAATTTTAGATAAATATCATCCAAATACTTTTAATGTTGGGTTTAGCCGGAATATAAAAACAAACCGGAAATTGAATTCGACCTCCACGTTCTAACTCTTCAGCTGCCCTATCTTCTCTTAGGAGTGATAAAACATAATCGATTGCTTTCTCTGGTGGTAATTCGCTTAGTGCGGTCAAAACAAGTTTAGAAATCATGTTTTTCATAGAACTGTCAACGTTTGGAATAAAAGTGACTCGAACATGATTTTCCGATTTCTGAAAAAATATTGTTATTTAAGAGCTAGTTTCACCGAAACTCACCGCATGTTCCAGTGCTGCCAACAACAACTGTCGCGACTCTAAATATTTCAAATCCCCAACAATCCAATAAGTCATCGTGTGTTCCTGTTTCCCCTTTTTCGGCGAATAGAAATACTTGAAATTATCAATGGCAGTAGCCGTCATGTCTCTCGGTGATAATTTCGCCAATTCATCAACATTCATGCTAGTGGTAGCCGTTCCAGTCATATCCAAATACAAAGATTGGTCCTTGTTGAGAATTCGTTCATTTAGACGAGGCATAACATTAGGTTGAGTCATTAAATATTCAACAACGTCGTCACTGTCCGATAATTTCCCCCGATATACAGCTTTCTGTAAAAGAGAGGTTTGCGACATGACTTCCTGAAGGACGGCTTCTTCGAATTCATCGATGTTTAAACTGCTACTAGGGAGAGGTATTCCATTGAGGAGGGCTTGAGGGAGGACTCTTTGACCGGTTCTTTGGATAAAATCGATGGATAATTGGCGACCGAAATCGTAGTCGGAATCTTCACCAAGAATATCGAGGTAATCATCGCCGAATTGTTTTTTCAGCTCTTTTTTAACATCATCAACTTTTACTTCTTCAGAAGCTGAGCCCAATACCGTTTTTATGAAACTTAACGCCGCTAATGGATTCTTCTTCTGCGACACATAATTAAATGCACACTGCATGGCAACTCCCGCATCCTCAAGTCCCGTCAACTCCGTCGAAGCATCAACTGCAAAGACAATTCCGACACGTAACGGCGCCGTATGAACCACAAACGACTCTAACAGTTTAACTAAATCTCTCGATTTCGGTTCAGTCGGATCAATAATCAAAATCAAATTAAACAAATTCTTTCTAACTTGCCGAATCATCCCCGGGAATGTTGGCCTCAACAAATCCATAACACTCGACGACCATCTATTATATTTCGCTTCAGTTTCAATATCGTTAATCCAATTAACAGCACTGTCTCTTATATCAATCGCAAATTCTTGACCTGTGCTGCCATCACTAAAATCGAGCGCTAGTAGCGACGCCAGTCGTTTGTTTCCAACACCGATTTTTTGTAGTCCTTCCATGGTTCGTAATTCTTGTCGTAAAACATCAAGAATGCCGTAAATATCCACTAGATCAACGTCGTAAAACATTCCGTTAATAAACAGGGCAGTATCGGAAGGTTGCAAATTTAAAGTTGAAGCAAAAATGTCCGAATTCAGTTTCATTTCTTTTTTTAATTCGGAATTTACGACGGTTTTTACTAAACCTTTGGCTTGCATGGGGAAATTTTGAGCGATGTTTGTGAAAACTTTCAATGCTTCGTCTTTGGGGGCACTCATTATACGTTCAGCAGCTTGGAGGCTTAGTTCCTGAAATTGCCACACTTTCAATGGCGCCATCTCATTGGACGACTCCTCAAGATGCTGGCGAAATTTGTCGAAATCTTTTTTATGGTCAGGAAATAAAGTCCTGAAATTAACAATGTTATTTTTTAGCTATAACACAAACAATAATTACTTCAGTTTTTTAAAATCAAATCCTTCAATTTCAATTTCTTCCTCTTCTTGTGAAGAATCTTCAGAAGAAGGATCATCGTGAAGCTCTGCATCATCCTGCACTTTATATTCAGTTGATTTCATCTGTAATTCAACTCCAAAACCTGATAATCGCAATTTCTTATCAGTTGGTTTCTAAAACACCCAATAATTACTTTAATTTTCTAATTTTTTTCAACTAAAACCTGGACGTAATGTCTGACAATATAATCAATTTTTCCTTCTTCAGCCTCCTGTTTTAAAACATTGTGAAAGTCGGCAAACTCTTTTGTCCCAAGTTCGCCATACAAAATAGCAACTTTTGAACGATTTTCAGACCCTGGATAATGCGTATCTACATTAAAAATATCAACTTTTTCTCGGTCATTAAACTAAAAACAGAATTCAAATTTGTTTTCATGCGACAATAAAAATACGAACATTTTCAATTAATGACCGGACTTTACTAGAATCACATGTGATTGTTCCCCCAATGTCTACAGCAGCAACACAGCTTGGCAATTCCCGTTCTGTGGCAATTTGTCGAAACATTTGTACTTTGGGCGAATAAATGTGTAAAGAAAGCCCCAATTTTAATACTGACAGTTCTGACGTGGTAATTAATTTAGCTGCATGGTCCATCATTATGTTATACCTTTCTCTATCATTTTCTATAAGAAATCAATGTAAAGTTTGATTAGAACTGTTCAAAATTGATGCTACCTAAAGTGGCTAATGGAGGGTTTAGGCTAGAAATGGAATTGACAAAACTCCAGAAAAAGTCACTGCTTTCATCCCTCAAATATTCCACTACTTCTAATACTAAAGGAGTTGTTTCCCATTTGGCTTCTAATAGTGTTGTCACAGACTTTGATTTTTTAACCTTGCAATTTCCGAACATAAATAGTTGTAAAACCAGGAAGACTACCACTCGCCACCGCATCCTAAAAGTCGATATTTAAGTATGTTCATTCACATGAAAACATGTTTTATTTAATTAATAATTCAAGTGTCGGTGTTATTATAACCTAACTTTTTGCTACCTTGATAATTGGATTCCTAGGATTTACTATCACACAATAATTAATTGGCAGTCACTTCAGCTTACAACTTGGATAAAAATACAACCAATTTTAAGTAACTCATCTGTAAAAGTTCGTATTTTAATTAAAAAAAATTGAACCGTAACCACCACTTGTCAAACACGCAAAATCACTGTCACAAGTACGTCAAAAACCAACCAATCAGAAACAGCCAACGCTGTTTTGGGACGATATGCGTAGTTGGCAAAATTTTGAATTCGAAAAAAATTATAATAATGAGAATGCACACTCCCCCACATTTTGAAGCGACTTTGGCAAATGTTATGTAACGTAAAAATGCGTTTTATCGCATTCTGGCTCATATTTATACAAAAATTAACATTTAAATTTTTATCATTTCATAAAATGTTAATTGAGGAAATAAATACTCAAGATCAAGATACCTAAATTAATACAATTGCGGACACAGAATTTTGGACATCAAATTTATGTCAGTTCAAAAAATGTCAATGTAAGCCACGCTTTATTGTCACCAAGTATAGAATGTATCCAGAGACGTTTAACTGTTGTTAAAATACTGAAAGAACTATAAATTGTTGATAAATTATTTTTTTCGACAAAGTAGGGTATTTTTACCCGTTACAATAACCTAAAGTCGCGGTCAATTCATAGTGGCCATTTAATTAATAAAGTTGGCAGCCCCTAGCTCGCCACCTCTAGAGTGTAGGTTGTGTCTATGATGGCAGCAGAAGTAACTAAATTGTGTCAACAATTGTGACAGGTGCAGCAGCAGTAGATTAAAAAAATATATATGTGAAGTATTCTAACCCGACTTTTTCTGAATTGTTAGTTTTGATCCCATATACCTAAACCGAATCTTATTAAAAAAAATTAGAGTTGTTAGGTTTAGGATAGTAATAATCCGATCAGTAAATAATTCAATTTTGATCAATGATAAATGATCAGTATTTAATTAATTTTTGCACAGTCAAAAAATAATTAATATAATATTTTGAACAGTAAATATAATAAATGCTAAGTAAAGCAGGCACAGTATTTTATTGTAATTTATTCAGTAAAAAAATCCAACATACACAGTAAAAATAATAAACGCTCAGTAACTTTAATCAAAATTAGTAAAACAACATGAAATTTAAAGAATTTTTAGTCTTGGTTACACAACAATATATGGCCTCTGAGCAAGAATGTTATTTATTATTGGTACTTGTTTTTATATTACTAACTATTCATTTCAATATTTATTATTATTGGAGGGTATTATTGGGTGGTATATGTATTAGCAATGGCCCCTGCGCAAGAATGATTTTAGCAAGGGCTAGAAACTATGCACAAATGGTAATCAGTGTAATCAGCGTACGGCACTCTGCACTACTGTGCTCCTAATACCACAATTTTGTTTTTGAATGATTTGCGATATTCCGATTTTGCTCGGAAACATTTTGTATGTGTAAATATGTGAATATTAAATTAATTAGTTTTGCTAGACATTCATTCATTGTCTTTACTGTGCATTTATTATTTTTATTGTACATTTAATATTTTTACTGATCAAAAATACTTGTCGTTTAAACAATATACTGTGCATTTAATTTGTTCCCTTAAGTTTACCTGCGAAGATCAGAGTTTGTCAACAACGGCCAAAAACTACCCCCAAAAGCTTCTATTAAGAAGACATCCAAAAAATCTATAAGAAATGAAGTAGTGTTGTGAAATCTACAAAGATATGTGGTATGAGGGATATGCGGATGCATAAAGAGTACGGATTCACAAAGGATATACGGTAAGGATGTCCAGAATGTCAAGATATTTATTCAATTAAAAAATTAAATCGGTTGATTTCTTTGTTTTAACTTTATATGCTGTGTCATCCAAGGCCTAGTCCACTTTATTATAATTTTTTAATCCATTCTCTAATTTTTTAATTCTTTTAAAATTTGTATTTTTTATTAAAATATGTTATGCTTCCACATTCTTTCTTGAAGATTAATTGCGCTAACAATTAAAAAAAATGATAAAGGTTAGGTAGCCCAATTAGGGTACCTTATCTAACTTGATCTAACTTAAAACTGTTTACATGCATATTTTCCACGAAATAAATTATTTACTTTTATTTAAAAGAGTCTAATTTAAAACAATTAATTGTAAGATTGGTAAAAAAATATAAGTAACCCACAATCTACATTTTAAACTTCACAAGCACCTCTTGCAGTTATATTAACAGTTCCTCTAACGTCAGTTACTTGGTTGCTGTCGATTTCTCCCATCTTAAAAATTATGTATTTTGATTAATTAGATTGACCAAAAATGCAAAATTACCTGACTATCATGCCTCCTGCTTTGTTCATAATACTGCAACTTTCCTTCAGTATATGATCTATAATTACACTCTATACTGGATAAAATTAATGGGGTGGTTTCAGAGGAATCACTGTCACTAGGTATACCCCTCCAAGATCCACTAATACCACTATCAGACACGCAGTCTTGATCATTACAGTTACTATTTTTTAATACAAAAAAGAAAAATGTTATCACAGCCTAAAAAACGACTATTGTAGCTTCAACTTAAAAGATTTTGAATAATACAAACCAAACCAAAAGTCATACTGGCCATTATTGTAGATGTAATGGGAAATCCATAGTGCTGTAACAGAAAGCCCCCCAAGGAGGGACCTACAACCTCCCCCAAGGAGTAAACACAAGACCAAACTCCTGCGATGACACTGTAAGTCGAAAGAGTATCGCCACAACCGCTATTTCTAAAGTAAACAATACAATCTTTAACATGTTGTGTGTTTTATTTCAACTTACATCGCACTACTGAGAAGGCCTTGAAATGTTGGTAGTAGTGCTAAAGCCACCGAGATTCCGAGTATTGATAGGGCTACTAAATTTAGCCATAGTGTGCTAGAAATAAAAATAATTTGTTTTTTGCTTAATTTTTTTATAACCCACCTCTTCAGAAATGGAATATAGGGACATGGACCTAGCAATAATAACCCAATGGTACACATGAATAACCCAACAACCATCATCGACCAATGGTTATTGACTTTATCGGCAAGCCATCCCCAAGCTGGGCTTGAAACACCATAAAGTCCAGAAAATAACAAAAATATCAACCCTATTTTTTCAGGAGTTAGATTAAACTGTCTTAAATGGGGCTCCAAGGTTGGGTCGAGAAAAGCCCAAGAGCTGGACACGATTACTACCACCAGTCCTGTTATTACAACTGTTGGTACTCGAATCAGTCTACAGATAGATGGTGGTCTATTTGAAACATTACAGTCTAAAAAAAAAATAGTTTCAGGTGTGACACATGAAATTTTTTCATGTACCTTCAATTTTTGGTAACATCCACAGGTTTAGTGGAACAAAAAGTACCATAACAATTCCTAAAACGAAAAATGGCATACTAAAACCGCCTAACTGTCTAGAAGTAAAAGATATAGATAAATTCTTAAATGATTTGGTTTGAAAATACATACCGAATAAAGAACGCCGCCTAAAGCCGGGCCTGTACTCATTCCTAGGCCTACAAAAGTTTCCAAAATGCCCTACAATTTCACACTTTGTGTTATTTTGAACAGAAAATTGTAATTAATACCAAAACAGATCCAATATTTTGAGGAAAAGTGTTGACTACAAAGACGTAACTTGCTGTCGAAAAAGCACTAGCACCAAGGGCCTCAAACCCTCTAATCACAATACAACACGTCGTAAATAGTGTGTAATTTTTGACATATTCAAGAGTTCTAAAACCTTGTAATTATTTTTGCTAAAATCGAATTTTGTTACTTACGCAAAGAGTAAATTACAAATGCCCGCCATAAACATCCCTGACAAGAAAAGTCCTTTTGCACCAAATTTCGGAAGCTTGAAATTAAATTGTATTACAATTTGCCAAATTATTTTTACTCACAATTTTTCCAAAAATTGGTGAAGTCAGAAACATGACTAAAGCGTAGAAGCTAAAAATAAACCCTGACACTGTATCCGACAAACCCTTTTCTGCAGCCTCCCTTGGGAAAAACGGTGCCATGATGGACATTGAACAAAAACTGATAAAATCGACTAAAGCTAAGGAAGTTAAAGTGAGTTTTTGTTTTCGAGTGAAACTTTTGAAGGTAGATCTTTCCAGTCGTGAGTTCGTCCTTGAAATCGCTATTAAATAAAACGAGATTTTTGATTTTTTTGTACCTTAATAATCTCTCCTTGATTCGATGGATTTCTCCCGGAGAATAATTATCGGGAGAAATGTTGGAAAGGGATTTGCTCCGATTCCGTGGACGGTTACCATCCGTTGACGAGGAAATGTTGAAACTGCTTTTACTAGAATCGGGGCTTTCTGGTGATGGTAGATCACTGTACTTCATTTTTCGCAATTTTTCTCACAAAGTTTGAAGGAAATAAATCTTGGTAATAACGCGTGGCTACTGATTTATACCTAAATTGATAATTTTACTGATATCACCGATAGAACAAATATCTATCTTGTTTATTCTGTTTTGACTGAGTTGGCTTTGAGCATTATTTAAAACGTAAACAAACTAGAGAACTGTCGTAATTCAGGATCACTGATAAACTATCTCGATGGAAAAATATCGGTTTAATAATTGAAGTCTATTGCTTTTGTGGCAAAAATGCCAACGACCAACGATCTAAAACTGTTGATGATGCGTTGTCTGCTATCACCAAATCGGATGTTCTTATTTAAAGTTTCTTCTTCTACGTACCAGTATAATTTTATTGCACAATACTGAAACTTGAAAGTATCTACAATCACCACTTATTTTAACGGTTAGACAGCAAACTACCAGCCACATACGACACAACTCGTGTGACCTTTAAAACAACTACAAAAAAGGATAGAGAAATGATAAACTCCAAATGATTCACCGATTTTTATTTAAAATGAACAGTTACATGAAATTTGCAACAAATGTTACGTTTATTTCTTTTGCAATAGAAAAAAACAGTACAGAGTAGACCCACCAAAATGTTGAGAGTCGCTATGAACCAGCAAACGACATAAAAATCGTATTTTCTATAAAGGAGAATTCCTATAGTCGGTCCCAAAATTTCGCCCAAAGAAAACATAAATGTCCAAGTTGCGATAACGAAACTGTGCGTTGTCACATTGTTTTCGTATCCATTCTCGCTGAAATTACAACAAACGTTGACAATAATTGTTAATAAACATATAACGACAAATACAAAAAAATAACCTTGAGACTAGTACCCGCAAATTGATTTTATAAGGTTTTAAAAATAAAGAATTGTAACTATTCCAACATAACTATTCTTATTATGGTATCTACAGGATGCGTCAGAACTCGCGCCCCAGAGAAAAATGCCACGTAAGGTAAGATACAAGGAACATGGAAAAAATGTTATCTAGAAAAATTTCGAAGTTATGAAAGTTTAAATTTTGCAATTTGACTATTTATTTCTGTTGGAAAAATAATTTTTCATGTTTTTTGCTACAGGCTATTAGAAGAGGAAACAAGAAAGCTGTAGCCTAAATTGTATCTCTGTTTAATATTATTTGTGACTTTTATTGGCAAAATTTTTGCATCTATACTAAATAATTACAAAAAAACATATACAAGATCATCAGTATCATTAAATAGATATAAAAAAATATCAAATGTTCCTCGTATCTTATCTTAAATGAAATTTTTCTCTGGGGCGCGAGTTCTGGCGCGCTCTGTATAGATAAGATAATGAATAAGTAAAAAATTATTATTTAGTAAAATATTTTTGATCGGCGATATGACCAAAATCAGACCAATCCTTTACTATATCATATCAACAAAACTGAATTTTTTTTGTATGAATCGTCAAAACTCAAAAGTTATAACTTTTTTATCAAGAAAGTCGTAAAATTGATATAATAAAATTTTGAATAATGTTACTTTTGACCCCTAATAGCAATCAGTTTAAAAGCAATTTTTAGTTTATTACTCGCTGAAAAACACTTATAGAAATCGTGAATGTGCGTATATTTTATTTTTTGGGCTTTGTTTTTTTAACATAAGACTTCATTAGTAAATCCCAAAAAACCTAGATCGCAAAAACGTTGGAAATATTGGTTTATATATGCAACTTCATTAGAATTAGTATTTTTAGAAATAATAAATTGAAAAAATAGGAATAAGCAGAGTAATAATCTTTTTTATTCGCAAATGTTACAAAAGTGACTAGTTTTATTACTAAATAAAACGCTTAAGCGTTTTTACTTTTATCATGATATTATTGTCATTTACCAATGTAGTTTCTTTCTTGCCTCTTTCGCGGCTTTATTTCTGTATAAGTAAAATGTAGATTAACAGCATTCGACATTTTGCACTACTAACTGCACTAATCATGCATTAGTTAATAAACACTTTCGAAAATCTCAACACAAAATTCCGAATTGACGCCTAATGTTTGTTTATAAGCGTTGTTACGATTTCATTGGTTCCAAAACGTCCTAATTATTGTGTTCATTTACTTGCTGATTATATGTAGTGTTGCTCTTTACTCTCGATTTGTATACGTTTGCAGATAAAATAGTATATTTTATTTGGAGTAACAGTAAGTTTATGTGGCTCATCTGAATTATTTGCCTCACTACAATCAACAAATTACACATTCTGCTTGGTCACATAAACTATCATTTTTAGGTCTAATAACATACAGGGCGTTAAAAAAAAGATTGTAAAATATTTTATGAGGTAATAGTATGGACCAAAACAAACAAAAGAGTCTTAATAAACATGGGTCCGCAAAGTAACGGTGTCGGAGATATCAAAAATTATTTGCTTTTTTAATCAATTATTTGCAGTCTGTACAAACAAAACAGAGAAGCTTCTAGTATGAATTCTAAAAATTTTAAAATTCGATAGCTCCGAAACTGTTACTTTGTTTATTACTTTTTTGTTTATTTTAGTTCATACTATTATTATTACCTCCTTAAATATTTTACAATCTTTTTTTAACACCCTGTGTAATACATACAGGTATACTATTATTTTTATAAAATACGAATTAATGGCGCTTTTCAACGGTAGGTACCAAATATAAAGAAGTTTTAGATAATAATTTCGGAATTTTTAGGTGATATCCGTTACGGATATCAAAAATCGACTAAAATTTTGACAAAAATCGAAGTTCAAGGAACTTTGAAAAGTGTATAAAAATAATATACCTATGCAAAATTTGTGTTAGGATATTTAGTCAAAAATATAAAATAAAATTCTTATTTTAATTACACAAAAACTAGAGTTAAACTTTTTGATTCAAAGATAACCCCATAGAGTGGCCCTTCTTACATCCCTGTCAAAAAAATTAATAAAATAAAATAAATATTTTTTCTTTTTCGTAAACGAAATTTTTTTGTAAAACTTTTGTTTTTTAATTTCTGAAATTTGACTTAGAAGACTCAAAGTGTTGTTACTTAAATACTAGTTTTTGTATTGCTAAGGGTTCTATGAACTCAAAAAGTACACAAAACACGTTGTCGAATTTTTGAAAGTGTGAATCTATGAAAAAATTGTAAATTTTTTTCATTTTAAATCCGACCAAATGTTGCATTTTTCTAGTGCCCGGAAAATATCCGTACCGCCCTCCGGAATCGTCGCTATCCTAAACCATTTTGACCTTGAAGTGATTTTTTTTCGAGTTTTTATTTTTTTATTTCAAAAAGTCGAAATTTTCAATTACTTATTTCCCTAGCCGAAACTAACTTCCTATCGACTCCGGGTTTTCGCCATATATTACTTTGAGTAAAAAAAATTAACTCTAAACGTACTTACAAAGCTGCAGTAGTAAAACTTCGAAACGTTGGGACTAAAGACATGGCCATACACACACCCAACATGCACACATTTATCAACTTGAAATATTCACTAAAAAATTATATTAATTATTTGCATTTTTCAGTTGTTTGTTTTCCTACTCAAATTTATTACGAACTAAATGTAATTCCAACAAAATTATTGCGAGTCCAGTTAAGTAAAGCCCTACAGGCATAATCCATTCAAATTTTGTCAGTTTTTCGGTCAAACAGTTCCAAGCAGGAGTTGAAAATGCAAAAGCTGCTGACATAAAAAGATAAGCATAGCCACTTTGTCGAAACGGGAGTAACTAAAATTTGCTTTTTAACAGTTTTTTTGAAAAACAATAGAAAGTTACATTTGTTAAATATTCCCCCAAGGATGGATCCAATGCACTAGTCGTCAGGGAAACTGTTAACACGACACAAGAAGTGACAAGAATTGCAGGAGTTTGCATAAAATGGCTGAAAGACTTGTACTGCTTTGAAGTATCTAAAAAAATAGAATAAGTTTTTTTCAATTATTTAATTATCAATGTTTTCATATTACTTTTCCCTACTTCTTCCAAAACATATCGTCCCACAAAGGCTAGGAAAATTGTAGAACTTCCTACAAAATAAAACGGAAGTCCAGTCCCCTTAAACTAAAATTAATAACTCTTAATCTGGATATTTAAAAAAAGTATTTTGTTACAGTAAAAAATAAGTCTCCTACAGGTGGTCCGATTGTTGTCCCGATTTCCACTGCACATTCTAAAGAGCCCTGTAAATTGTTTCACAGTTAGTTAAAATTGTGATTAGTTATAAGTTAACTACTCGAATTATTCCAGCATGTTCGAAAAAAGTTCTAAAAATGAGAACATATCCTGAAATGAAATAAGCACAAGCTCCTGCTGCTTCGATTCCTCGCAGAATGTAAGCCAAACATGTAAAAAATGTTTCATCCGTAACATAATAATACAAAACACTGAAAAACAAACTTAAACACTGATTAAAAAAAAAAATAAACATACCCAAAGAGTATAGATCCTGTCCTAGAAAGCACGACAGCCCCAACAAACAAATCCTTTTGATTATATTTCGGAACCTAAAAATTTCTTTAAAACCTTATTTCCTTTTGTACATCCACCAATCAGTTTTAAATTACAATTAGGCCCAAAAACAGCGAAGACGTGATGGTGACCAGTACTGTGAACTTTATAGGAAGTTCAAAGATGTACAAATAAGCACCTTTTTGAGTCATCTCTTTGGAGAGAAAAAGGGACAAAACATTTATCGAACAAAAACTCATTAAATCGATGATTGCAATAATTGCTAAACCTAGTCCTTGTTTTCTCACAGACCTAAAACAATTAGTTATGTAATTTTAACTATTTGTTTAACTTACATGATTGTTGGTAAAATTAGGCAACTGCGAATTGTGTTGATTTTTTGGATAATCATTCCTGTATTGATTAATCACATTTTTGCAAGATTATCTGTGTAAATAATGAGCAATTGAAAATGTTAGATTTTTACGCTTTATATAATAATTGAGGTTTGAGGTAGGTATAACTAATATATCACTTCCTTTTCATGTGAAGGAAAACACATCTATTGTAATTCTGTTTCTAAATTGGATAAATGCATTTTTTAATTATAGTCAGGTAAATGTATAGGAAGTTCTGACATATAATTTGTGTTTCGCGATTTTTTATGTCCCACTTCACTGCTTAAAAACTTGTTACAAGTTCCCGTCTGAAAAAAATAAAAAATTTAAAAATATGTAGTACTTAATGAAAAAAAATACTAAATATGCCAATCACACAATATTCTCATAATATAAAAACGATACTATGATACTTCCAAATGTGCTTTTGATGTAGGTATATTATGTCTGTAACGACTTTAAAAAAGCTTTTGATAAAATTGATACGTTAATTTTTCTTATCTTAGTTGGAAGAAATTAGTCTTAAATAATTGTAATAGAAAAAAACATAAATCCTTACTTTATTTAAAAAAAGTTCTTTCAAAACGAGTTTATAAATTTTTTTTCATGTAGTATCTCCAAAATTGTTAAATGACTTTAATAGTGTTTTCTATAACAAAAGTTTTTTGTTACAGTTATTTAAAATCAACCTCGGTGTAATTAATAATTTCTAGTCAAAATTTGCTTAGTTTTTGAAATAAGTTGTTTTTTTTTTGACAAAAACGTACTCTTTTTAAAAATCCATTACACAAAAACTAAAACATTGTAATAAAAAGCTATGTTTAGAAATGCCAAGAAACATACAGTGTTTCATTTAAAAAACACAAATTTGTATTGTAACTTATTTTTGGAACACGCTGTATAGTTGAAAATAATTAGCGATGCACTAGATTAGTATCTATCAATTTTCTATATACTTTTTTTTAATCTTAAAATTAAAGGTCAATAATAACTTTACCAACTCGCTGAGACACCTGTATATATATTTTTTGTATTTCATACGATACACCGGATTATTATTACTTTCGGAAAATTTCCCCACTTTTGCAAAGACACAATTATAATTATTCGTAACACAATTAATGAATTGCTATTAATAATTTTACAAAATGATTTAAAATTCACACTTATACACACATATTACGTTTTTTAATATTGTAAAGTACTCTTATGTAGATATACAAACGGTCGAAAAAGTTTGAAAAAGCTATATCTTACTGATATATGTAAACTGTCTTAAAATTATCAGAAAGACACTAATAATATAAGCATTACCTTTAAGCGCAGTTGTGTATTGATGACTAGTACATTTAATAGTGTAAAATGTCGAATACTGATGATCTACAATGTACGACCTGTCCAGAAATTGCTGAAGCAGCGAAAGAGACAACATTGGTAAATGTAAAAGTAAAAACGTCCACAGGAATAAATGATAATGAGTGATAATCAAGAAATTAGTACCTTATAAGATTTTTGCTCCTTTTTTTTCTCTCAAAATTTATTCCTCTAATCCAACTTTTCAAAATCAGTCCCGACCTTTTGTAATAGCCCGATATACAGGGCTATTCATAAATATGAAACAATATTTGAACCTCAAAAATGACCCATAAAATAATGTTAATTTTTATAAAAACTCGTGTCCTATCTCTACTGATAAGAATTTTAAAGCCCTTGGAATTTGGGAATGGAAATTTGTTTTTTTTTGTAATAACTTTGGAACCATTTGACAAAATATTATAAAATTTGAAATAGTTAGTTACTTGCGAGAACGTATCTTTTAAACTAATAATCACAAAAACCGGATACATCTACCCAATTTCCGGTTACAGCAGTTGCAGGTCACATTTTCTGTGTTTTTCCATTTTTTTGGCCTCTTAACACAAATTTTTTATTGCTTGAATCGATAGAGTAACCAATTTTGAATAAAAAACGCATAACCTTTTATACTACTAAAATGGACCGTTTTAAAGATATTTTAATTTAAAGTGAGTACTGCACAACGCTGAAAATGAAAAATATAAATTTTTAATAAATGGTATCTACGGCAACCAATGACCATGGTCACCTAAATCGCTGCGAGACATCTGATAACTTCGCCGATAAATTTTTGTGAATTTTTTATGAATGAAATGCTACGAGATCCATTTGGATTTATTCTAAGTTATGTTTGGAGTCTGAGGTAAACTACTTTATTAAACATTTTCGATTAATCGTCTAATAATTGTCCAATCTCAAGTTGACAGATGCCTGACAGCAAAATATGTGACCATGGTCATTTGTTCCCGTGGATATCACTCATTCAAAATTCATACTTTTTGCTTTCAGTGTAGTGCAGTTCTCACTTTAAATTAAAATATCTTTAAAACCGTCCATTTTAGGAGTATTAAAGGTTATTCGTTTTTTATTCAAAATTGATTACTCTATTGTTTTGAGAAATAAAAAATTAATGTTAAGGGGCCAAAAAAAAAATGAAAAAACACAGAAAATGTGACCTGAAACTGCTGGAACCGGAAATTGAGTAGATGTATCCGGTTTTCGTCATTACCAGTTTAAAAAGTATGTACTATTCCAAATTTTATTTGGTCAAATGGTTCCGAAGTTATTAAAAGAAAACAAATTTCCATACCCAAATTCCAAGGGCTGTCAAATTCTTATCAGTAGAGATAGGACACGAGTTTTCATAAAAATTAACATCATTTTATAGGTAATTTTTGAGGTTCAAATATTGCTTCATATTTATGAATAACCCTGTATTTGTACTAATAATTTCTTTTCCTTCGTTTCTTAATAAATCATTTTCTCCTCGTGATTCTTGCGGGGCAAATTATTTTTTTTAACTTTTTGTAATACACATTAATTTAATAACGATAAACATAATATGTATCTCATTCCTTTATATTACACTCAATTGGTAGGTGCATATTAAATTATCTTTTTGTATTTACTATACAAAATGTAAATGTGAAACAATAAAACAATAGAATTATTATAAAAATTTTGTTTTAATTTGTTATATTTACCTATATTTTTTTAATTTATAAAAACCATTATACCTACAGTGCGATCAAAAAGTCTTTCTATAAGGTAGGCGTCCTAGTTGAGGACGTATGTTGCATGGCAGTTCGTATGTTATCTAGATGTCAAAAAAATATTTTATAAAAATTAAAACATTGAGCTAATTAAATTAAATTATTCTATGAAACGTCTCAAAACAAACTAAAATAAAATTTTGTTGGTATTTATTCATCAAAATCGTTCACCCCGGTTTCCTGTCATAATTTACATAAAAAGTATTTTGACATTTCTCATTTGTGATTGTGACATTTTATCTTCCACAGACGTACGTTTTAAATTTCTACACTTGCTTGATAGACAGACTTTTTGATCGCACTGTAGTTCGGCTTCATAGTTTACAGTTTTAATTACTTCTTATTTGTCATATTTTTCAAATTTCTTTTGGTAAGTTGAGATAAATAAAATTCTTTATAAAATAACTCCCACCGTGTTCGTCGACCAAGTCTAATTTACCTGCAATATAATCCCTAATTCTTTTTTCTAGATAATTACTAATTACAGCAAAAGAAAAATTATGTCCCATTTCTAGTAAATAAAAAATAACCAAAAATTAATAAACAAGAGTGATTACTGATTATTATAAATCGGTGTTTCAGCAAAATGCATCCACTTGTCTAGTCGAAACATTTTCGAAGACGGTTTAGAAAAAAGCCCTCTACTGACTAATAGAAATACGAAAGACTGATATATCCCAAAGAAACGAAGAAATGAACCAAATCTGTTTAGGGTAGAATGAGCAGAACCAAGTGTTGTCTGCTGTCGGCGCTAAATATGGCGCCACCCTGTGTGTTAGAAACACATTATTCCCAGTATAGCTCAACCTTAAGAAGTAAAACTTTTACTTGTGTCATTTAGTCATAAATGAGTTACTTTTGTCACCTTTGCGGGTAAAAGTTTTTAAGTTTAAGAATACGAACAAATACCATTTTTGCCTATGTTTAAGTAAAAATCTAAAATATATGTATATATTTTTCGGCTTTTTACACGAAAGTTTTATTTCACAACTATTACATTTGCAACAATTTTACGAATAACATAAAAGATAAACAAGTGAGTTATGGATATACAAAAGAAAAAATTCCACAAATTATTTCTGACAAATATTAAACAAAACACGCAACTAATTAGGTAGTTAAAAAAACAAACGAAAGAACACTATTCAAAATGCCAACAACTTTGTATAATGGATTCCTAATTCTTTTTCAAAAATTAAAATAAAAACAGCCACTAAAAAACTGCCACATTTATTTAATTGATTGCATTTTTTAAAGTAGGTTTCAAATAAAACGAAAACTGTATCAACAATACATTTTTATATAATCAACTTCTCATTTACCTATACTTATACTAATATATGTAAATTACTCAGAGAGTACCTAACATCTTGTTTCATAACCGCACACTTTCTTATCTAACTTGGCAGAATTATACAAAAGAAAATGAAATATATTATTGAACTATTTCAGTTTTGCAATCCATCCTCCGTTCTCACCATTTTCCAATTTAGTTGCTAAAATAATTTCAGCATTTTTTTGTCTGTATTTTTGGAAACCAGTTTGATCAAGAAATATGTTGCGATCCTTATTGGACTTTCGCCTAAGTATAAAATACATCGTTCCCAACGTAGCCATTATTAGATTCAACAACGAAAACACAGTCGAAGTTAAGGAAAATCCGTAATTTTGAAGAAGTGTTCCCCCTATTATAGGCCCGAGGACTTCACCCAGAGAATATACACACGACCAAAGACCGGCAATTACGCTGTGAGTCCCCAAATTGTCTTCAAAACCTCCAACACTAAATAAAAAAAAATTAATTAATTGTAATTAAAAAAAAACTTAATTACAGGGCACTATCCAAGATTGCTTGATATGTGGGCATCAAAGCCATTGCTACTGATATCCCTAACGTTGATAAAGCCACGATGTTTAGCCAAATTGAACTAGAAAACAAAATCAAATAATGAACAAAAAATAAATTACAATTTACTCTTCTAGAAATGACAGAATAGGAGAGGGGCCCAACAGTAGTAAACTGACAGAGTTAGAAAATAGTCCACAAGTCATTAACCACCAATAATTATCAAGTCTGTCGGTCACCCATCCCCATGCAGGACTGAAAATTCCATACATTGCCGACAAAAGAAGAAAAATAAGTCCAATATTGCCTGGACTTAATTTGAACTAAAATAAAATGTAAAAATCTCTGTTTTTGATCAAAATATTGTACCTTTCGCAAATGTGGTTCTAGAGTTGGATCCAGAAAACTCCAAGTCATAGCAATGACCGTTATTATAAAACATGTTACTATTACAGGAGTTAGTTTCAAAAGTTTGGTAAAAGAACCGCTCTTTGTCTCCACAGCACATCCTGAAAATATCCACTAATAACAAAAATAAACAAAAACAATTATTTTAACTGCACATCTTCCATTTAACTTAATTTAAGTAATTTGCCGGTGCTGTTGGCACAAAGAAATTTATAATTTAGCCTTGAATTTCATACAGCAAACGTTGCAATAATTTTGATGATAACAATAAACTTACTTTCGGCCGAAGGTAAAAGATACACGTTGAGTGGGGCTATCAGAATAATAATTAAACCAATTACGTAGAATGGTAGACCAAAACCTCCGATCTTCCTAGAGAAAAAAATTAATTACAAAAAAATTATTTTGGAAATAATTGACAAAACTACCGCAAAAAGCAGGCCTCCAAGAGCCGGCCCTACACTCATTCCCAAACCGACAAATGTTTCCAAAAGGCCCTAAATAACAAAATTAAAAAAAAATCGCACAGGGAGAAAAAGTAACTTACCCTTACGGCTCCCGCATTGTCGGGGAAAATATTTACAATAATAACGTAACTAGCAGTAGAGTAAGCGCTAGCCCCCAATGCTTCCAAACCTCTTATCAGAAACGAAAATGTCGTAAATAGTGTATAATCATCAATGATATGTAAGGTTCTAAAATAATAAAAATTGTTAAAATACAACAAATTACAAGTTTTGCAATTTACCCAAAAACTAAACTACATATTCCTGATATTAATACTCCTCCGGTAAATAAACATTTCAATCCTATTTTAGGTAACTAAAAAAGTGCGTTACTTTTGTTGCTTCCAGCTTCAAAAAACTTACAATTTTACCAAATACTGGTGAAGACAAAAATACAACAAGTGCGTAAAAACCGAAAACAAACCCTGCCATTGATTCTGACATCCCTTTAGTCGCTGCTTCTTGAGGGTAGAAAGGTGCCATTATCGACATTGAACAAAAACTCATAAAATCCACTGTTGCTAACATTACTAAAGCTACTTTTTGTTTGCAGGTAAATTTTTTGTGTTTCCTGTTGAAAAAAATTATAATTTACCCTGTGATAATTTACGCAACTTCTATTCAATGCCATTTCATTGTTGGACAATTTCAAAAGAGTCTCCTGATTTAGAGCACTTAGGGTACAATGTGAAGCTAAATTGTGTTAATGATGACTGGTTTAAGATGTTTTATTAATTTTCTACTGAATCGGAATAAAATCCGGTTAATCCAGGTATTAAATTGCTTGTTTGTGGTCGATTAAAAGTAAAGATTGTAGCAATTAAGCGTAAACTGTTTTTAAAATATTCTCAAAGTGACGCCAAAGCCGTTTCAAAATTATGGTTTCTTCAAAGTAAAACTGCGATAACAATGCTGTAAGATAAACACCCAGAATAGTTAATTTGACTACTATTAATAAAGTTCATGATAATCGGGATAAAGGTCAAATTAGTATCAGAGTCGAAGATAGATTAATTAAATAATGAAGGAAAAATTACAATAAGTCAAAAACAAAAAAATGCTCTTGCAATTAATCAACTTACTTATCTTCCGGCTCTTCTTTGTGATCATTTTTGATCTCAGCAGATTCAGAAATCGTAACAGGAATGCTTTTTTCTTTACTCATTTTGAATTTCAAATTTCCCTACAGACACTTAAATCCAGTGAAAAAAACAGTTCTTTGCACTTGTATTAACTTGTAATTTTTACAGTCATAACTTATAAACTTCACTGTTCTATTTCCACTTACTATCATTGTAAGAACACACTCTGCTTTACTTGAGTCGAGAAAAAGTGAAGCTTTGAATGAATCATGTAAGAGTCGAGACCTCCGCAACTCTTTGCTCAGCACTAACAGAATTGTCTGCTTTGCATTCTTGTTTATAATCATTCATGACATCGTATTTGTTTTTATTAATTTGTTTACTTTTGAAAACTTTGGCAAAGTGTTTCCTTGTGCAAATAGAAAAGTAGTTTTCGTACACGGTTCTGAAATTTTCTATTTGGTTTGACACCTGATTTTGTCCTTGCTACAAGGATGTCAAGCTAAAATCTAAATAGTCTACACAAAATTATTTCTTCACATAAGATAAACTTTAATTAATTTATTTAATAAGTTTTATTTCATGTAATTATTCAAACCCACACACATATCTCCATTATACTCTGTAATGCAGCCAATTCAAGAATAAAAATTTAGTTATTATTATACAACGTTTATAGTAGTTAAGGCTATTGTACAAAAAATTGCAACCTAATCTCTTTTAAATGCTCTTTAAAATTGGCATGATTTGTAAAGGAAGTGAACATTATGCTTAAAATTTTGGAAGCCCCGTAATAAGGTAAAAAATAATTCTGAAACTTTTGCACATCAGACAAAAACATATTTTTAATTTTATCATCTGAAAACTACACTTGTGTTTTTCATCATATTATTAAGTATCTAAACGTTTTCACAATCAACACATTAGTCAACAAGGAACAAATGCGTTGTACATTATTTTAGATAAAAGATTAATCGACTATACCAAAAAATAAAACACCACACACATCTATTATATTACTCACAGAACAATAAATTTTAATTAAGTTGCTATAAGTAATTAAAATACCTTTTCTTTTTCCTATTGCTAAAATACCAATTCGCAAAAGTATCACAGGCACTCATTTGATCAGACATTTTATTGTCCAATTAAACAATCGTCAACGAAAGGTGTAATGATAATGGGTGTTTATGATAGGTAATCGTACAACTGTACATGTTATTCCATTAATTTGGACTCTACATAAAACTGTGAGATGTCAGTTTAAAATTAATAATCTGATAAAAGCATCGTATTTCATATGCTTATCTAAATCCGCTTTTAAATTTTAAATCTTTTCAGTGTGATGGAATTCCTTCTTATTTTAAACTTAGTTATTTTTTTTATTTCTTATTATTTTTTTTTCTTATTATTTTTTATTAAATTTTCAAACTGCATAAAAAAAATTAAACATAAATGTTTTAATAGAAGATTTTGACCAAGGACGGATCATTGTTTATTTTATTGACCTGTCAATAAAATGATTTATTTTAAAATCGTCGATCAGTCATTTGAAATTTTAAAAACAATTATGTATACTTTTAAAAACGAATATACTTACATCACTATTGTCGATGATTACTTCACCTATTTTGAGGTGAAAAAATAAATATTTCTAGTTACTTTACACGTAATAAAAAATTTTATAGTGTAAACGTAAACGATAAAAGAATAATTACGTTTCAATTTATTGTTTTGTTATTGTTTAAAATTTTTGACGTATGGGGAAGAGACCCCCACAAACCAATGTTAAAAAAAAAGTTTTACATGAAAAAATTCCTTTAATTTTTTAGTATAATAAATTAGTGAAAAATTTGTTTTTTCAACACTGATACCTTATACTGTTTATATGGTGCATTTAAGCTTGCCTCTTATGTTGTACATAACATACTCTATCTTGGAATTTTGTCAATTTTGACATTATTTTGCCATACTTTTTTATAATAATTTCAGCATTTAGTAAAATTTCTGATTTAATATTTATTTGTTTTGCAAAAAATTTTGAAAACAACACAAGTTATAGTTTAAAACACTTGTTATCTTATAGCTATTAATTTAAATAATTTTTTTGTGGTGGTCGTAGAAAAAGTATAGTATGTAACACGTGTATAAACTTCTTTAAACATTCGAACGAATGTTTGAACTAGTTACATAATATACTATTATTTATTGTATCGTTTATCTATACTTAATAGTAATTTACGTTAGGTATAAGTCCAGTAAGACAAATATGTATAACAGTACAAATGCGAAGTTTAAAGACGAGGTATTATAGAAAATTATGCGTTTAGACAATAAAAAAATATAAAAAACAAAAAAAAAATAATTTTTTGATAGATAATAAATCACAGAGCTAAACCTTTTGCTATCATTACGATTTATAATTTGCACTAATCCATGTTAATCTACTTGTACCTAAGATTTAATCTCAAAGTCATAAATAATCTTCATCTTGATGTATTATTTATAACATGACTATTAGTAATGTAATAATCATTGAATTAATATAGTCAGTAAGAAAATTTATTAACCGATTTTGAAATAGTTTAGTAAATTTTCTTAATCCGTTTACCGGCATAAAAGCAAGGGCGGTCCCAAGAACACATTCTCAAGAAAATCTGGTGGCATTTAGCCAATAACACTTTCAATGTTGTCTTATAATACGCGAAGTAAAACCTAAAATGGAGATAAAAATGAAAATGTCCTTTTGGTTACATAAAATAAATTTTCTTCAATGCCCAACAGTACCTAAATTCATCTAGTAATTCACCTAGTAAAATTTTTAACAGTAGTTTGAATTAAAAATAGGGAAACTTTTATAAAGTTTTCAATAGTCATTTCCAAAAAAGTAAAATTCACTTTTAGAACATTATTATTTCGCAAAAACACAAATAATTATCGCGGTTTTTCCTCATTAAAAAATGACTCAATTATTATTTATCTTAAATGGAACTGTCGTCATTAAAAACAAAAAATTCTACTTGGTCTACACGTGCTTGCACTTATGTAATTTAAATTTTATTATCTTAATATGAAATTAATTGCTTTTACCCTTAAAATGTTTCATTGATAGAGTTCAAAAAATTTTCAAGTTGTTAACAGAAAGAATCAAGCGGGAAACCAACGTAAAGCGACTTCGACAATGTTTTCTCAACTTATTTAGATTTAACAATAGAGACAATTTAAAAAAATTCTTAAAAGAAATGCAATTATTTGTTTTTTAATAATAAAGTATAATAATATAAGTTCGTGGATTTTTAATCCTCTTATTTTTATGGTTTGTTTTAGTTTACTAGTTATTTAAATCTATATTTAAAGGAAAGGACAAAAAAGAAATAGGTAGACAGAGTCTGTTTCAATATAGAGATTTCAGAAAGAACAGTAGCCAATTACCTCTCGGGAAAGTAAATATTTTCAGAATATAAGAGAAACTGTTAGTTTTGAAGTTTTTCTTACTTAAACTCTATGAAAAATTGTATGTATTCCTCTGGAGGAAAACATGTTTTCCTCCTTGGGTGGTTACTGTAACTTCCACCTATGGGAGGGAAAGCTACACTTTCCTCTCTTGTAAAACAAATAACTATAATAAAAAATCAGAAACATTTTTAGTATTTTCAGGAATAACTAAAAAAACATTTAATTTAAAAACTACTCTTAATTTTTAAAAATTAAAATTTTTAGAAAGTTAAAATTTTTATTGGAAGGTGCCCAAATAGAAGATATTTCAAACTGGTTCTGAATTATTTGGTATACAAGGCATGAAACGTATGTACTTACTTGTAAATTATTCCGGAACCACAATTTAAAATACAAATAAGATTGTCAGTATTAATAAAAATTGCAAAATAATTTTTATCTAAAAAGTCTAAGTACCTACCTAGATCATAAATATTTTGGACAAATAAACAGTTTTGAATAAAAAATATAAAAACTCAATAAAACTCACAATTTATTTAAAATCTTTAACTCGCAACATTTTCCTCTTTAAATTGTATAACAGTAACGTCCTTTTGAACATTATCACCAACTTTGAAATAAATATTTTCAATAACTGCGTCCCGGTCTGCCTTCACCACATGTTCCATTTTCATAGCTATTAAAACAAAGAGAGAATCGCCTTTTTTCACTTGGTCTCCTGAATTGACCAAAACCTTGTCTATGACACCAGGCATTGGGGCAACAGCTCTGTTCAACGAACCTCCCGATGAAGACTCATCTTCTTGAATTGTCACAAACGATGGCTTTTCTAAATTAAATTCCACTTTACCACTCTGTAAAATAACGTTAATTAAAGTTTTAACATAAACTTATAAAATTACATCATCGAAAATTGCAATAATGTCATCACCCCTGAAAACATTCACACTGGTGGTAATACCATCGATGGTACTTCTTAGACTAAATTTGTTTTCTTGTTTGTAAAATTCGCCCTGGACTTTAGTCCAAGTCTTTCCTTCATCGAGCGAAATGTCGTAAGTGTTGTGGTCAACAAATTTAATTTTAACACATTTTTCTAAAATTTCTAAAATTATAATTGTAACATTGAAATGAGATAATAACCTTCATCTTTAAATTTCATTTTAACGTCACGAACTAAGTTATGGTTTATTCGAAATCCAGATTCAACCACGAATGGATTAAATTGGTCTTTTCGACTCATGGCATTTTTTATGTCTAGTAATTCGTCTTCTAACACCACACTCAAAGCTGCTTGAATGAGTTGCGTTTGAGTTACTGTTTTATTTTTAAATAAACTATCGTTGTTTTCTGTAATAAAATTAGTATGGACGTTTCCAGAAATGAATTCTGGATGTCTTACAAGATCTAGAAGGAAATTAATGTTGGTTTCCAGGCCTGCCACCTGAAAAAACCATAAATAGATTGCTCCAACGTGTAAACCCACAACTTACATTGTAATGCAAGAGAAGTGATTGCATTTTTAAAAGACTTTCAGATCTGTTTTGGCCCCAAACAACCAATTTGGCAATCATGGGGTCGTAATGAACCGATACTTCGCCTCCTTCTCGAATGCCTAATAAAACATTTTAGTTTATTTATTCTGAAAATAGAAGATTTTTTACCAGTTTCAATTCTCATGTCATCCCGAACTTGGGGACTACTCAAATAGAACAAAACACCAGCCCCTGGCAAAAAGCCCCCACTTGGGTCCTCTGCATATATTCGAGACTCAAACGCATGGCCGTTTAATTTTATTTCTTCTTGAGTTAATGGCAACTTTTCACCTCGAGCCACTTTTATTTGCCATTCAACCAAGTCAGTTCCTTGAATAATTCAATTTAAACAAATCAGAGGTCGTCAAATTTACTAACATTTCCTCATTTATGTGAGACAAATATTGCGCTATTGGAAAAATTTACATAATGGTTAACATGAGAAGACCGCAAGCGGTAATTGAAAATTTCCACTGAAACTATACAGGGTGTTTCGTCCAAAGACAAATGCCAAGTAAGATAAGATAGGTACCAGAAACATTAAAAATATGTAAAATTTTTTGACATTTGACATTTTTTTATAATCTTGAATAGGTATGTTTTTTTTCATAATTATTCAGTAAAAGCACAAAAAGTTTGTCAATAAAAGCTACAAATAACGTTAATAGTTACAATTCATGATACAGCTTCTTTGTTTCCTCTTCTAATAGCCTGTAGCAAAAAAAAACGTAAAATTATTTTTCCAATAGAAATAAATAGTCAAAGTGCAAAATTTAAACTCTCATAACTTCTAAATTTTTATAGATAGATTTTTTTAAGGGTCTGGTATTTTATTTTACTTGACATTTTTCTTTTTTTTTGTCTTTTTACAAAACACCCTGTATTAAGAGACATGTGCAGCTAATTATAAGTAGTGTTTACGTGAAAAATACCAAATGGGAAATCCGAAACCAATTTTTATAAACATCATGCAAGCTTTTAAGAAATGAAACTGTATTTTAACACGCGATAAGTGACGTAAAAATAATTCATTACACAGATCAACAACAAAAAACGAATGTTTTGATGAGCAATCTGTTTACCTGTAATCATCTCGGTTATCGGATGTTCCACTTGTAACCTCGTATTCATTTCCATAAAATGAAAATTATGACTCTTCCTATCTAGAATAAATTCTACAGTTCCAGCTCCCACATATCCCACTGCCTTGGCAGCCCTTACAGCAGCAGCCCCAAGTTCAGCCCTCAGTTCTTCACTTATTCCAGGCTAAAAATGTTCATTCAACAATAGTTCGCAACACGAAATTTGAAATAGTACCGCTGGTGCTTCTTCTATAATTTTTTGATGCCTCCTTTGCACCGAACAATCCCTTTCAAATAAATGAACAGCATTGCCATGCATGTCTGCAAAAACTTGCACTTCCACATGCCTCGGTTCTTGCACAAATTTCTCTAAAAGCACCACAGAGTCGCCGAAAGCTTTCTGCGATTCACTTTTAGCCGACTCTAAAGCTTCTTCGAATTCAGATTCGGTGAAAGCTATCCTCATTCCTTTACCACCACCACCTCTCACGGCTTTTATCATGACTGGAAATCCGATTTTTAAAGCTTCTTCTTTCAGTTTTGCCCTGTTTTGGTCTTCTCCGTGATAACCGCCGATTATTGGAACTCCGGCTTTCGACATGATTTCCTTCGATTTGCTTTAGGAAAGTTAATTGAGAAAGTTTGAAATATGAGGAGGTACCTTTTGATTCCCATGTCGCGAATCGCAGAAGCTGGAGGACCCATAAAAATTAGGTTGTTTTTCTCGCAACTTTCGGCAAATTCAACATTTTCGGAAAGAAAGCCGTAGCCTGGATGGATAGCTTGACAACCGGACTTGTGCGCGACTTCTATTATTTTGTCAGCACGGAGGTAACTTTGGCTGGCTTGTGGAGGGCCAATATTGTAGGCTTCATCGGCCTATTAATTATACAGAGTGTTTGGTAAAACACCGCAACTCTATCACTTATTTATACAGGATGTCTGGAAAACACATTATTTTGGGGAATGATTTCTTAGATTAATATGAAAAAACGAATGGACCCATGTCCGGAAATGAGAAGTTAGAACTCTCTAAAAACAAAGAATAAAAAATCTTTTTTTATTATCTCAGTAATTAGTGGAAATAAATTTTGAAGAATGTACAGTCGAACAAAGTGAAAATGACGCCTCAATAAACCAGCCCCTGCTGTGCAAGCAGAGTGGTAAATTATCAGATTGCGGTTTCAAGATAAATTCCTTTAGGACCCTGTTTACAGAAAGCGAAATGTAAATTTAACTCAGAATTAAACTAATTCGAATTAAGTTGCCATTTATTTTGAATTGATAAACATCAAATTAATTAAATAGAAATGTTGAAGGAAATTTTTTTAATGAAAAAATTTTAACAAACCATTTCTTAAAGAAAAATATAAAATAATATAAAATATAAAAATAAAATATAAAATAGAAAACAAATCATTATTAACATAATATTTTATTTTTAACTGTTTTTCAAGATAAAATTAATTAACATAATTTTTGTACGATATAGGATTCCTATATTCTGAACATGATTTTATGTAAAAAAATTAAATCATTGTTTATTTGCAAGAAGAAGGTGTGATTCCATATTCCATGTGTGTGTTTACTGCGAGTGTTTAATTATTTGAGCAGAAAGTGAAATTAAAATTTACTTCAGAATTAAACTAATTCGAATTGAGTTGCCATTTATTTTGCATTGACAAACGCCAAGTTAATTGCGAATTAAAATTTAATTGGGTTTAACACGTTCTGTAAATCGGTCCTAAGTTTTCTATTAGTTTTGTAATTGTAATTGAAAACGAATCAAAATTATTTATTTAACCAGGAAAAAACCGCTAAATTATTTGAAATATTATAGTTCTGCTACAAAAATTATTTTTTGATAATTGTAATACTTACTTGTAAATCAAATAAAAATGTATAGTTTTTTAAATAAGCAACTTAACAAAAATCATTTCTTAAAGAAAATTATGCATTAATAAGATGAAATTGACAAAAAACAAATTATTATTAATGTAATACATTTTTTTGATAAACTGTTTTCCAAAATTAAATTAAGTAACATAATTTTTGTACGAAATAGACTTTCTCTATTTTAAACTTGACTGTATGTAAAACAATAATATTTTAAATGATTTATAAAATAATTTTATTTTGGAAAACAGTTAAAAAAATATTAAATTAATAATGATTTGTTTTTTCGTCAATGTCAATGCATAATTTTTTTCAAAAAATGGTTTGTTAAATTTTTCATTAATAAAATTACCTTTACGTTTAACTTGACGTTTGTCAATGCAAAATAAAAATAAATAAATGGCAATTTATCTTGAAACTACGTCAAATTTGAAATGCGATAATTTACGAACCTGCCTTCTTGTGGTTACCAGCAGGGGCTGGTTTATTGAGGCGTCATTTTCACTTTGTTCAACTGTACATCTACCCTAATTTGGGCCCTAGATATACTGGTGGTATCAAAAATTGTGTACTTTAATAAGGGAGGTCAATGAATTGTACAGAAAGGTTTTTGCAATTTTTTCCAACAGATTGGTGTTTTATGATTAATTTTCTTAGAAATAGAACCATATAAACTCTATTCTTATATTGACCTAGTTAGAATTTCTTAAGAAATCACTCCCCTAAAATCTTTTAATGATTTTTCCGGAAATCCTGCGTATCTGTTGATTGAAAAAGACTATGAACTGACCCAAACTTTCTTTAAAAAAATCCTGGTTTGTGGATGAGTAAAAATCGTAGATGTAAAAATTAATAATAATAACCAGTAGCGTACTGAGCAGAGTTCCGTGAGGTCTGCGAAATATGAACCTGGGCCACGAAAGGGCCAATTACAAATTTGAGAAAGTTTAATTTTTTTTATATTAGTTGTTACAAGAGTTGTTCACTTTTCCCGAAAAAATAAACAAAAACATTGTATTTTCTTCACGTTCATCAATACTTTCAAAGTTTATAAGGCAAATGACTTCGTTAAAAAAGTACTTTAGCTTCACAATAAATTTTTTGGAGTGTGTATCGTCTGCACTGTATGCATTTATGTGTGAACTTACAATATTCACCAAAATATTAATTATGTCTTACAAACATAAATAGGGTAGTGCAAAAAGCAAAAACTTGAATTTAAGAAAAAAAAAAGAAAAACAACCTATGGTTATCTATAAAATTTCAATATGAGAGAAAGAATAACTTGCGTTCCAGAATTGAAAATATATCAACTTTTCAAGAGCAATCAGCACAAAAAACCGGTAAGATAAAAATAAATTTTTCTTCCAAAAGAGAATAATGACGCTTTATTCCCTCGTTTTTGACTTATAAATCTAGTAGGTATGTATGTACTTTATTATTCGTTGAGAATAAAATAATAGATGAAATAGAAATAGTGTTATGTTTAAAACAAATTGAAACTGAATAAATTAAATCTTTTGATTGTTGATTGATGATGTATTATCAAAAATATGATTTTTTGAGATTTTCTTTTGTTTTTGAGTTCTACAAAACTTTTTATTCTTTTAAATGGCAACCCACTATAAAACCATTTTTCTCATGAAGGTTATAATATAACGATTACAACTATCTACTTTATATTTGATTTTGGTCAATTTTGTTTTACATAAGTTACCATTTTGACAATAAAATCGAATAATCCAAAAACACAACAAAATTTCATTCTCAAAATACGATCACATTTTTTATATCACTTTGATTTATATTAATTATTACTTTCTGGAGGCAAATGAATTAAAAAAAACTTGGTCTCATACTTTATATTCATCCTATATTATACAGAATGTTCCGTTATTATTGTTACAAATTTAAACAGGTGATATGATACTCAATTCTAAGACAAAAGTTTCCTATAAATATGTATCGAAAAATGCTTGGTGAGGGAGCTACACCCCCTGAAAGGGGGTTAATAGGTTTTTGCTAATATTTCAGAAACCATCTTACAAAATTTGGTACAGATGATAACCTTTATATGTACACCTAAACGAATTCAAATATCAAATGTCGAAATTTTTAATCAGGGGCGTCCGAAACTGGTGGGGTTTAGGTTAAAAAAATACCCTATCTATTTTGGCTTTAGTTTCTTAGTTATGCATTGACCAAAATGGTGGTCACTTAGAACAACTCCTTTAGATAAAGACAAATTCATTTAATTAATGTTATTATTGTTACTGTACTGTAATGTTAATTAGTTGAGGTTGATTAAAAAATATGAATTTCTTGCTTTTATTATTCTGTAAATTCTGATTTATTTGAATGTTGTATCGGTGTGTAACATAAATTGTAAATTAATTTATTCAAAAACAATACGTCGTATCGACACAAGAGAGACTTTTCTGTGATAAACTATCGAACTTAAGATTTTGTTGCTGAAGGTACCGAGAAACTAAAGCCAAAATAAATAGGGTATTTTTTTACCTTAAACTCCCCCAGTTTCGTACGCCGATGATTAAAAATTTCGACATTTGATGTTTGGATTCGTTTAGATGTATAAAGGTTATCATCAGAACCAAATTTTGTATTTTTTTCTTAAATGGTTTCTAAAATATTAGCAAAAACATATTAGCCCCCTTCCAGCTCCCTTACCAAGCATTTTGCGATACATGATTATAGGAAACTTTTGTCTTAGAATTGAATATCCAATCACTTGTTTAAATTTGTAACAATAAAAACGGAACATCCTGTGTAAGTGTATATTCATTCATATTATTTGTAAATTTGAGAATGTTTTTTTTCCTATTATTTTACAAGTTATTGTTTTTTGAATAAATCGTTATAAAAATACATTATTATTTGATTATGGTTTTAGCAGTGCTGGTGGGGGTGAAAGGAGGGCCCTGATAATAACAATAAATTATCACAATCTGGATAAAGTTCAGAGATTACATAACTACGACCAATAATTTAAATAATAAATTTTTAAATCTTCCTTATTATTTTAAAGATAAAAAATATAAAATAACGATCATTCATTAAAAAAAATCAGACACTAGGTTCAATTAGGAACGATGGAAATGATGAAAAAAGTCAGTTTTGTCTTCATGATTATTTTTCTGTTTATTTTTTAGCATGAAACCAGGTTTAATTTTATTATTAAAAGCAAAACCTACCTGTGAAACGTGTAACGAGTTCTTATCGGCATCGCTATAAACCGCGACCGTTTTTACGCCCAATCGTCGGGCAGTCCTCAACACACGACATGCTATCTCACCTCTATTTGCAATTAGTAATTTGTCTATCTTTCTCAAAGTACTCCTCCATCTTCTTGTAGTTATTTGAACGCCCAAATTTGTGCTAAAATTATACCAAAAAAATCTCATTTTGCCATAAAACCCAATTTGAAACATATGACATAAGTAGTGAGTAGTAATTGCATATAAAACGTGTTTTATTTTAATTAAAAGTTGTTAAATTGCCAAGTCATCACTAAAATAGAAATGTACTCACTTTCGTAGAAATATACTCCACAACGGCATTTTTATCTTGATTTTAATACCACAATTTTATAACTACTAACTAAAATGCGATTCTTATCATAATGATACTGATATCAATGAAGAAATGGTTGGCCTCTGCTGACCTTCATTCTTGACAATAATAACTTTTTGTTTTAATAAAAATTAAAAAAACAAGTAAATATCGACGATTTATAATTGTGCAATCCTTTATTGTCAAAGGACACAGACTTCTTACATAAAATACTAAATTATACAATTTATTTCTATCTATTACAATATTTTACAATTGCGTACACAAAAAGTAATACAATCACAAGTTTTAGATGCGAGTTATCCATGTTATTAAAAATATTTTCGCAAACTCGTGCGCTTCAATAATTTTGAATTGAAACCAAAACGAAAATAAATACGTTATTAAAAATATTCTGTTGGTAAAAATCACAATAATTAAAGTACATTTCAGTCAACTTTAACCACACTATAAATTTTCCTAATAAACCAGAAACAGGCGAAGAATCCAATCGAACCAGTTAACAAATTGAATAAAAACACCATAATTAAAGTATAGCCAAAATACAGGAAAGCAGATGCTGTATCCTCGATCTGCAATTTCGTAAAGAAGTAATGACAACAATACAGAAACAAATAAACTGCTGTAAACCCGGACGTCAAATACGACCGCCACCACCAATGGTAATCCTCTGCACATAAATGGAAATAACACAAAAGAATCGTTGTCTCTGCACATGTTATAACTAAAATAATAAATACTAAAAATAGAAAACCGAACATGTAATACATCTGAGACGACCAAATCGAATTCAGAATAAAGAAAAGTTGAATAAAAATACAACCAAAAGGTAGCACACCCCCCATTACGATCCCAGGAATCGGCTGTGTATAAATCGATTGTTCGGGGATCAACCTGGGAATTTGATTCGTCCGCACCGGATGCTCAAGTGCCTGCAAAATTTTCTTTAAAACTGTACTCACAATTTACCAACTTACTCTTTTCCTGAACCCGAAAAACGCCCCCACAAACGTCAGCGGCACCGACACCAACAACCACAACGCCAACAGCCCCACCAACGTGCTGAAAGGCACGGCTGCGGAGCTCCCTTTACTCCACAAAACCAGATTCATTACAAAAAACAGACCAAAGACAATTCCAGGCGCCAGCATCGACGTCAACAAAACATTTGATTTCCATTTCTCCCCACCGAAACTCTTGTAAATCCTCGCTGAAACGTACCCTGCTGGAGAGCCCAACAAAACATACAACACCATAGCACAAGTCATCAAAGCCCCCCGATTTGCCGGACTCAAAAAACCAAGACAGGCGAAAGCTAGCGTCACCAAAGTCATGAAAAACACTTGGACGCCGGAGCCCAGGAGGACCGAAAGAAACATTCCTTTCCGTGGAGGGCGGAAGACGTCTCCGTGGACCAGTTTCCAGCCAAATTCTTCCTGTAAAAATGACAGTAATGCGATTATGTGATGGGAATTTGACGACAAACCTGGGCGTCTTCGCCGCTATCAATCTGGTTGTACCTCGCGATGTCTTTGTGGAGGGTTCGCAGCATGATCATGGCGACCATTCCCGATAGAAATAATACAATCACGAGCGAATTTAGAATACTGAACCACTGGATGTTTGTGTGGGGCATTGATTCCAAAATGTAGTCCCATCGGGATGACCATTTTACGGCGTTGTTTTGGATAAATGTGACAGAGTAGGTGTAAGTTATTTCGTATTCCTCTTTGGGTTTTAGAGAAGTTTTCAATTCCAAGAGTTTTGTGTTCTGCTTTGAACAGTCTATTTTGCTGAAATGGAAATACAATTTTTTGTCAGTTATTAAAGGTAAAGGAGAGTACAAATTCTGCTAAATTAACATCAAAATACAATTATAATTTATAAGTAATATTTTTTTTTCAAATTCTTTGTTTTACTCTATTTTCGCATTCGTATTTGATTCTTTATTTAGGTTTTTGGAATTTTAGGTAAGTTTTAAATTCTAGTCGATTTTGCGAAAATGGAAAGATAGTCTAACAGAAATTTTTGTGAGCTAAATACGAGTTTTGGGGGTGTTTTATTAGGGAGTAAAACTGGAAAGTAATATAAGAATGAATTTTACTAAATTAGGTTAAACATTTATTATTTTGAATAATAAATAAATTAATTAATATGTTTCAGAACTCGCGCCCCTGAGAAAAATCCCGTAAGGTAAGATATGGAATATGGAAAAAATGTTAAAAAAATTCTATCTATAAAAACTTCGAAATTATGAGAGTTAAAATTTTGCACTTTGACTCTATTTATTTCTGTGTTTTTTTTTTGGTACAGACTATTAGCAGAGGAAACAAGGAAGTTGTATCCTAAATTATAACTATGTTTAATGTTTTTTGTGGCGCTTATTAGCAAAAATTTTCTACTTTAATTAAATAATTATAAAAACAACAACAATAACATGATGATTTTGTATGTTTTTTCATAATTATTTAATAAAGGTATAAAATTTTTGCAATCAAAAAATTAATAGACACAAAAAATGTCAAACAACAAAAGTTTTAACAGATAGTTTTTTAATTATTTTTTCCATTTTCTTCTGGGGCACGAGTTCTGAAACACCCTGTATACAACTGGCAAAGTTATCCGAAAAAAATAGCTTTTTGATAAACTTTTAAATTATTATTTTAGTATATCTACACATACATATTATGTGAATTCTGTATCAAAATGCAGTGTTTAAATTATTTTTGGAAATTCAAAATATCATATCCTGTAACACGGTAGCGTGACCACCAAAAAGCTAATTAAATTAACAACAATACCTTAGATGATTAAATATGCTTTGTCTACTTACACACTTAATGTACTTAATTAATTTTATTACAAACTACAACTTTGTTCAGCAAATATTTATGTAGTTAGATACTGAAACAGCGAGACAGTTTAAACGCAAAATAACGTTTTGCAATATCTAAATCGGAATTCAGAAAATGTCTTATCAAGGTAATAAATACATCATTTTCCAATCCAAAAAACTATGGTGTAACAACTTTCCACATAAACACTTGATCGCAGATAAAGGTATAAAAAACCAATCAATTAAACAAAAAATCCAAATTAATTTGAAATCAAATCTCACTGTTCAAATATGTATAAATTTTGCGTTTAATCCCAACGGAGAATAAAGTCACGCTTTATTCCTTCGGGAATAAAATAAATTAAACATCGCTTTTGAGTGTTTTTTCACATAAGCAAACTCCCTGATGTCGATTTATTTACTCTCAAAATTGCAATTCAATTAACTGAATAATTTCGACATTATTTGACAAATTTATCATTCTCTGATGATATTGTTAATCTAGTGCCGTTGGCAGAAAAATGTTATATGCATCCCCGAAATAAACATGAATGAAAATGCCCTCAATTCGCTTCGGTCGCCTCTGGTGTTACCTACATAAATAACTAGAGCACACACAAATTGTCCTTGTAAATGCAAAAACTACTTATAATAACAAAGTTACCTACTCTCTATGGTCTATGCTCCTTGGAACAACTTTAACTGAGATAATCCTGCCCCCGTTACTCTTGAACTTATTTCCCCATTCCTCCTGTTCTCCAGAATGATATGTAATCGTCAAATCTACATGATTGTAAATGTAGTAAGCATCCTGTTTATCAGGAGTCCTTAGACAAGTATCACGCCCATCTTTGGCAAAGCATCCCATTTGAAAGCCAGTAGTGCAAAATTGTTTCTGATCCTCAGTCTCGTAACAACTTGTTACTGGCATATTATCAACAATCCAATGGTGTTGATAATTAAGACTGATGCCTTTTCTCAGAATGCTCAAACGTCTGTTTGCACTTGGATCTGAACCTGAGTATTTCTTTGTACAAACTGCCTTGCATGTTATATTTTTCATAAACTCAAGGATGTATGGAGATGGGCGGATGCGTTCGCCAAAGACAACCTGGCCCAGGTTCTCCACTGGAGACGGTTGGTTTTCATCGGGTTGGCAGAAATCAAAATGATTGTACTCATAGGGAATGACTGATTCTTCAGTATTTAGACGATTTACGTATAATAATACTTCCGACTGCAACATATTCAATAAGATAATAAATAAAACGAGTCAAATACTTACTTTACACGTGTCTGATTCGCCTTTCCGGCAATAATTTACAGGCGCCAAACCAGGTAAATAAAATGCTTCAACTCTAGTTTCATGCCACAGAAATAATGCACACAAAACGAGTAAATTCATGATTGTTACTTATTGAATGGAATATCGGGGCACAATTTTCATTAAAAATAAATTGTTGCCGATAACAAATTAAAAATCACCCACACTAAATCGGAAACGTCACCAATAAAAACTACTGATAAAGGATATAACCTCAAGAGAATGACGTTGAAACTTCTCTAATTATTCTTAATGTTGATTTATGCGTTTAATGTTTTCCAAAACTGTTAGAAACTAAAGAAATGTGCTTGATTTACTAATTTGGTACAAAAATTTACGGTTTTTTACGGAGAATAATCATGTTGCTGTTTGACAAAATTTACTAACAAAAGTGCCAACCACACAAAACCAAATCAATTTTTTAAATTCAATTATTGTGTTTTAATCAATCTTAATTTAAGTAAAGTTATAATATTATGTCTTTTCTTAATGGTTATAGTGTAATTACGTGACGTATAATTTTTATTCTTAAAAATTCTCCTTGTTAATATTTTTCTGTGGTTGCCGCCTCTTGAAAAGCTTCCATATTAGTCACCGTGTGCGCATGCGCCTTTTGTTGATTACAAGCGAGTTGTTTAATCGTGTTATTACAGAATTATTATTAGTTTTTTGAATAAAAAATGGATGAAAATTAATTAGTATCGACTACGGTTATATCTAGGATTGTTGTGACAGGGTAATGCAACTTGCTGCTTGTTCATAATTTGTGTTTGTCGCCGCGCTAATGGCGTCATTTTTTCCCCTAACCTCTAAGCATAATTTTTTCTCTAGATGCGGCGTAAAAGCGCTCGTAACGCCCAAAAAGCGTCTCCAGAGAAAGCAGTGAAAGAAACGGAAACTCCCCCGAAGACTCGTCGATCGAGGCGTCGCAAAAGATCGCCATCGAAATCGAGCGAATCTGAGGATGAAGTTCTAACAATAACAAAGCGTGCCCCAATTGAAGCAACCCCGGATACTACAACTAAGAGTCATACTCCGAGTGACGAAGAGACTTGTGATGAACCGGTGTGGAAGGTCACGTCTTCTGAGGACACTCCCAAAGGGGAGATTCAAAAATTAAAGATTTGTCTGACAAGGCCTTCTCCGGATTCACCTGATAAAAGCAAGACGCGTCGTAGTAAGTCTAATAGTCAAACTGAAGACGACGCTACGAGTTCTGAAGATAAATCGTCAACGAGACGAACTCGTTCAAGGGGATCTCCACTTGTTAGAAACGACGGTTTGTCTAGTCAAGACGGTGATGAAGAAGTGGAAGAGAAGAAAGGTAAAGGTAAGTCTAAAGGTAAACATAAGTCAAAAATAGAAAAGTCACCGCACTTAAGCGAGCCTGAAATACAACCGAACAATGAAATTTCTGAAAATGTACAGGTGACACCTCAGTCACCCTCTATCGATAAGCGAGTTGATAATGAGAATGACTCTAAGGTCGATGTCGACGATAAAAATATTAATGAGAGTGTCCAAAGGCAAGAAAATGTCAACGACGTTGATAAAGAACAAGTTGGTAATAAAACCGTGGCTGAGTCACAAAATGATGAATCTGATGATGAGCCTCTCAGCATTATTAAAAAAAATGTATCAGTTGACAAACTTGTTAATGAAAATACACACTTGAGTCCTGAACCAGAAAAAACAAATGAAACACCTACTCAAAACGAACCTTCTGAATATCAAGACTCTGATCACGTTACAAATAAACATGAAGTACAAACCGTAATTGACGAGAAACAAGAAGATGATCAGGTCGAAGAACAAATTCCAGAAGTCGAAACAGAAAAAATTGAAGTTGAAGAAAAAACATCTGAAAGTGTCATAACTGACGAAGAACCTTTAAAAGAAACAGAAGTAGAAAAAGTAGAAGACATATCAGCTACATTAAATGAAACACAAGATGTTGAAATGGCAAGTTTAGAAGAAAAGTCAGAGGAAACAAATGCAATAAGTGAAGATACAACTGAAACAGAAGAACCTCAAGCTTCTAAAAGTATTGTTGAACAAGAAAATATTGAACTTAATCAGGAAACCTCTCCTCAAAAGACACCAGAAGTACCTGTTGAAAGCACTCAGGTTTCAAAAGAATCCGCACATATTGAGAAGAGTCAGCGGGATAATGTTGAAAGCACTCAAGTTTCACAAGAATCTACACATATTGAAAAGAGTCAGCCGGATAATGAGGGTAAGTTCTTTACATCATTACTCACGCTGTTTAAGTGGAAAAAAAACTAAAAAACTGATCATTTTTTAATTTCTTAATAAAAAAATTTACCACCAAATCCACCTAATTTAACAGTTTTAATGGTAAATTGTTAGTGAAATATTTTTCTTCGGATTATATGCAAAATGCATATTTGTTATTAAGAGGTATATCAACAAAATTGTAAGTTTTCTTTGCATATCTAATGTTTTTTGATTAAAATAAGCCAATTAAAAAATGCATATTTTGGCAACTTCGTGCATATTTTAGGAAATAATGCATATTTGTGCATAGTTTCTTTAAATCACAAATTTCCGATTAAAAATTTCAGTTCAAGTTAAAAATTGGCCAGTTTAAGAAAGATGATCCGATTACAAAATATGTTAAAGAGAAAACAACCAGTAATTCGTAAGCCGGACTCAAAGAATTAATATCTTGCTGAGTGTTTCCTTTTTAAATTTATTTTATACAGGGTGAATATGAACTTTTTTTTTTAATAATTTGCCTCTGGAAAATAATAATTAATATAAAATGAAGTAATATAAAAAATCTGATCGTATTTTCAAAACGAAATTTTATTTTGCTTTGAGTTACGCGAATTTATTTGTCAAAATGTAATTTATGTAATTTTTTTTTAATTAATAAAAAGTAGATAGTCTCTAACACAGTTGTTTTTGGGAGAGTATACAAAACATATTTTTTAGTGGGTTACCATTTAAAAAAAATAAAATTGTTGTAGAAAACAAAAACAAAAAATTCGAAATTTAAAACGTATGTCTGTGGAAGATAAAATGTCACAGTGACAAAGGAGAAATGTCAAAATATTTTTTATGTAAATTATGACAGGAAACCGTGGTGGACGTTTTTTATGAATAAACACCAACAAAATCTTATTTTAGTTTGTTTTGAGACGTTTCATAGAATAATTCAATTTAATTAGCTCAATGTTTTAATTTTAATAAAATAATTTTTTGACATCTAAATAACATACGAACTGCCATGCAACATACGTCCTCAACTAGGACGCCTACTTGATAGAAAGACTTTTTGATCGCACTGTAGTTTAAGCCAAAAATGTTTGGTTCCATACTTTTTATTCACCTGGTATAATAAATAAATCCTTCTATGTGGATAAGTAGTTGCCTGCAAATGAATTTTAGCAAAATTGTTTAAAGTGATGTAATAGTATCTTTATTTTGACGGTAACATGTGATCTGAAAAGTACAGATTTCTTAGAAACGCTTAATTACTAGGTTATTAAAATGGCTTGTTTGAGGCAAAACCAATTTATTTATTCTCTTTCGTTCATCGTGTGATGCGATTCAAGATGATGAAAATACAAACTTTAGTGTACTCGAGTAAAAATTTATTCCAACTTTGATTTTTTATTGTTAAAAGTTTTGCATATCGATGCATATTTAGCATATATTCGAGCATATTTCTTAATATTTTGTGCATATTTTTGTGAAAATACGTGCATATACAGGGTGCGCCAGAACTCGCGCCCCAGAGAAAATTCTCAAGTAAGGTAAGATACCAGGAACATGAAAAAAATGTTTAAAGAATTCTGTCAAAAAATTTTGACATTTATTTTTTGACATTTGACATTTTTTATATCTATTTAATGATACTGATGATCTTATATATGTTTTTTTTTACAATTATTTAGTAAAGGGACAAAAATTTTGCCAATAAAAACCACAAATAACATTGAACAGAGTTACAATTTAGGATACAGCTTCCTTGTTTCTTCTTTTAATAGCCTATAGCAAAAAAACTTGGAAAATTATTTTTCCAACAGAAATAAATAGAGTCAAAGTGCAAACTTTAAACCCTCATAACTTTGAAATTTTTATATATAAAATTTTTTCCATGTTCCTGGTATCTTACCTTATATTTTTCTCTGGGGCGCGAGTTCTGGCGCATATGCGCATATTTTACGGATTTTTCGTGCATATAATCCGAGCCTTACTTATAACTATACACTTTAGGACAGTTTGTATCGTTTTCTTTTCTCAACTTTTTATTGTTCTTAAGTAGTTAATATTTTTTTTCATTTTAAAAGACAAATTTTAGAAAGATATTGATTGGTTTATAGATCGACATCGGAGTCCACGCCGTAGACTCCAACGCAGTAACGACTACCTGAAAAGCGACTCCAAAGAGCAAGAGGAGTCCATTAAGAGCGGCCCCATTAGACCTTTCAAAACCAAACGTACTTGGGAGGGCAGCTTAAACTCGACCTCTTCTTTGCTTAAAGTCGATCTTGACAGCATACAAGTTGTATGTCCAACTATCGAGTTTCCCGAAGAACCCGATCTCAATTTGGAGGTTGAAAAAGAACGGCGGAGATCTGTAACTGAGTCATCAGGCAAAAAACTGGAACGCAAAGTATCCGTCGAGTACAAGTCGGACACTTCTGAAAGACCGTCGTTTGAAAAACAGAATTCTGTGAATTCTTCTACTCAAGATGGTGAAGATAATTCGAATATCATCGCGTTCAATAGGAAAATTAGTATCGTTGATGACACTGCGAGTAAACTGAAACCGCCACCAAGTCCGGCAAAAAATCCCGTTTCGAATATTCTCTACATTACGAATCTTGTCAGGCCTTTTACTGTTAAACAGTTGAAGGAGTTGTTGGAAAGGACCGGGAAAGTGCAAGAGGATGGGTTCTGGACTGACAGGATTAAATCGAAATGTTATGTCCAATACGAGACCCAAGAGTAAGATTTTTTTTATTTATTTGGGTACTAGTTTAATCATTGGTTATTGATAGGGAAGCTGAAGCAACGAGAAACGCCTTACATGGAGTTCAATGGCCAATAGGAAACGGCAAAAAATTAATCATCGACTTTGCAACGGCTGAAGACATGGAAAATGCGAAGAACCCACCGGCACCACCTCCAGTTGCTGTTCCAGATACGAAAGTTTCAACAAAAGAAAATTTGGTTAGTTTTTATTGATATAGTTATGTATAAAACATTAAATTTTGTGGTTTAGGAACCAGTGGAGAGTAAACAAGAAAAAGCCCCCAAGGAAGTGGAGAAGAAGAAACCAGAAGGACCGGTTAGAGAATGGGACATCGGGAAAAGGGACGTGCGTAGAGACCGATCAAGGAGTAGAGAAAGAGGTCGCAAACATCGGCGTTCACCAAGTCCATCAGATGGTAGTACATTCTTGTCAACATTTTATAAAATTTAATATTTTTTTTTATAGATTTTATCACCAGGAAACAGAGGAAAGCTGAAGACTCCGTCCCCCAAAAGTTGATGGATGATCTCTTCTTGAAAACGAAAGCCACTCCCAGCATCTATTGGCAGCCTTTGTCACCTGAAGAGGTATTTATTTAAAATTTAGTGTTGATTTTGCAGTGCGCTTTTTTGTTTTTATAGATATCCATGAAACAGCAGCAGCGACTCATCCGCATGGAGGAACATAAAAGACGTATGGAAGAGAATTCGCGTATGAAAGGGAGAGAAATGGGGAGGGGCGCGTTTCGACGTAGATACGATTAATCAGGAAAGAAAGTCTAAAGTTAATTTTGTTGTGTGTGTGTGATGTGTGATAGTTGTGTGCGTGTAAGTTTTGTAGTAAAAATATTTGATTTTAAATCCCTATCCTATTTTTTTAATTTTGTTTGAGTGAGAGTGGATAAATGGGGCGATAATCCTATTTTTTGTAGGATTTTCAGTATAGGTTTCACACTTGACAGTTTCGTTCAACGAGGGACTTTGAGAGAAGCATTAATTTACACGTTAGTGGAAATAGTAGCGTTTCACACAAACTAATTGCTGTTAAAAAAAGTATTGTATTATTTCGTGAATGTTTTCCGATGAAAAAATGAGTTGCTGTAAAACCATAGATTTGACTCAATATTAAATCTTTATTATGATCCTTGAATATTATTACATTTTTATAAATTATGAACATGGTTTTAAAGATGTAAATTTACATTCATTGCAATGCTCAAAAAGGTGCATAGTAAAGTATTTCACATGTACAAAAGTTATCCAACTATCATTATGTACATCGTTGCAATAAAAACAAAATAACATCAAGCTAACTATTTATTACACTAAACACTACACCTAATTTTAACAAATTGCAGTTATACTGGGTTTGTTTGGTAATCGTAGGATGGAATTCAGACTGGATTATTTTAGGTAAAATTCCGTTTTTTCATGTTAATGATCTAACAATGCATGAAATAGCAAGCAGTGAAATTAAATTCCGTTTTGAAATTGTATGACGTTCAAAAATGATGCCAATGTACTACTTGTTTGTTAAAAAATAAGGTATGTTTGAACTGAGAAAAATATCAGTCCAACTTGCTTCTATTGAATACCAAAACTCTAATTATATCTACACTACAATCTAGATCAGAAAATTTACTTAAAAATATTAAAATTCCTAAAAATGTTAACATTTTTGAGTATTTTCCTATTTATAATTTTGGAATGTTTTCAGTATGGAGTTTGTTTTAGAAGACAATCTACAAAATAAATAAAATTGAGCTAAACGATTTCTTCGTACTAGGTCTCACAAGCGGGTAGTTCGATTGTAGCAGCTAAAGCAGGCAAAAATCACTAAGATTAATTCTACTGAAACTACACTAACAAAATAACAAACCTTTCTAAAAGACGTCGTTTTAAATCAGGAGGATAAGTTACGTATATGTACTCGTTATCTTTATCTGGAGCCAAGTAATAATCCTCAGTGTAAATCTGATGACCGTCTACTTGTGGTGGAGGTTCATGGCGATGGACATGAGCTGGTGAAGGTGTTGATCTGTCGGTCATACTAGCACTAGCAACACTGACGTCATCGGTACTAAATTGTTAACACTTTGTACGTTTTTTTTTTTAATTCAACAACACAAAACTTACTCGAACAAGACCCAAATGATGTAATAACACATGCAGATACCAAGAGATAGAACCATTATTATCATACATAGCAAACCCCAAGGGAAGCTACGGATATCACCCTGCGTATCCTCCCAGTATCGGTCACAAGTCAGGTACCAACAAACGGCCCTATTTAATTCGTCTGTAATAAAGTAATCGTTTTTAGGAATATTTTAAAAATTTAAATGGTATTAATTACACAGGGCGACATGATTTTTGGGGGTTTAAAATGTTGTCGTTTTTTACTAATTTGGTGGTGCTGATTACAAATCCATCACTCGTTTTATTGTATCACATCAGATTGTCAAAAAAAAAAACTATGTAGCGGCAATTTTTACTTAATTCATAAAATTAAATAAAACCATCCAGTTTGAGCTCTCTGTCCGCGAGTTTTGCCACGTTTCGTGAGAAACATGTGAATTACAACAGCAACAACATCCACTAGAATACCCGTGCCATAGCCATCACTTCACCGACAACCTCGCAACTGCGTTGTTTTGAGGTGAAATAGGTCAAAACCAGTTAATTTTTGTGTAAAAGAAAAATCTGTGTTACAACTCAACTCTACTGACAAATTTTAAGCCAAAAAGTTCCACTATTTCATCCAGAAAAAAACATTGTGAAGTGGCGATGGCTGTGACACGACTTTTAATATTTATATTGATTAAGAGTGAAGGGTTTATATTAATGAAGCTTTAACACTTGTATTCGGGTCATAATTGGACTGTATTAGTGTGTTATGTTTGAATAATATTCGTTTTTTACAATAAGTGTAAAAATCAATCCATAAAAATTACTCTCAGGCGTATTTTTTGGACAAACGCAAATGATATGATTTAGAATAAGAGTAATATAAATAATTGAAATTGATATTTCTCTTGAAATTGTTTGAAAAAATATATTTAACTAACTATTTGATTTAATCTTCAAAAATTTTTAATAAACTTGTTTTAATTTTTGTAGAAAAATTAGATGTGATAGGAAAAAAAGCGGATAATCTAAATTCTAGACAAATGAAATAAAAAGAAACAGCTTTTAAAATTAAAAAATCCCTCAGAAATTGTTCATGTGACGCCCTGTTTTATGTACAGTTACGGAATTAAAATTTCGGGCAGTATTTTTCTCTCACTTTAAAAAGCTCACTGTAAAGTACCCTTTACTGTCATCAAGGATGTTTTAGAGTTTACATTAAGAAAATGACAATATAAAATTTTAATTTCGCAACTGTACTGCCGATTTAAAATGGAACTGAAAATGGAAATTTAAATGCCATGTGGTGTTACGTTAAAATATAACAATGAAGCATGCAAAAAAATTGCGTGCCAACCAGAGGTGAAAATTGTTAAAGCTATACTCCTATTTTTAGAATACAGTATTTGAAAATCGTTAAACTTCCATTTAAATTTCATCTAAATTTAACGAAAAAGTTAAAAAAAGAGTATATAATAGTTGTTTTTTTTTATTTGGCTTTTGTATGAATACCAAATTTAAGAAAATCGGTAATGTGGAAATTGTGTAATGAAAAAATTGTGTTAATATGTAGATTCTTAAATTTTGATTTCTCTTACTGAAAATTCTACAACGCATAAGAAATTATTAGTTATTATTTAATGTGCCAGAATTTCTTTTGGATTTTACACTTAATTGTATTTAAACTTAATACAAATTTTTGATAATTATGTGGGTTAGAGTTTACCATAAAAAATTGATGATTATTTTGCTAAAAAACCTACTAAATAAAATCCGTCATTAAATGAGTTACATTATTCAGTATCGTCACCAAATGCTGGTGCAATTTGGCTTAAAAATCAAACCTAAATTGGATTGTTTTTTTATTAGTTTGGTAAAAAATTACGCTAAAATCCATTTTTGAAAACTTTAGAAACGCCTGTTTGTGTCCAAGAGAAAGGCATAATTTCAACACAAACTACCTTCAACTTCTTTAAAATCCTTCAACGAAAGCTGTATTAGCAACCCCGCGATGCAATCCCGCACCAAAATCTCGCATTTCGTCTTAATTTTCTGTAATTCTTCCGGTTTACAATTCGCTTTCAATTTTTGCAGTTCCGCTATCCTCTGCTGCCTGTTATCAGGTGCCGGCAAAGCCGAATCCACCAGGTCGTTTTGACACACATTATTTGAACTATTCTGCAATTTGTCTTCGTCGCTTGCAGATTGGCGCTCTTCTAAAACATACTTTAGCAAAAATCGGAGAAATTAGAAAAAAAATACCGTTTCTGTTAGGCGCTTCCGGTGCCTCATTCTTCTGGCAATGCTTGGTGGGTCTCGTTGCTTTTCCGGTCTTCTGCAAATGTGGATAAATTCCATCTTTGAAGGTGTATTTTGCGACTTCGCGTGGCCCGGAAGTCGCCAAGGCTTTAGTGTACGAGGATGCTTCGCGCCAAATTTCTATATCCGTGTTGACGGTATCTGGATATACTGTTTTGGGGTCTTGCGTTATCAAAACGTCACACCTCATAATGTCGCAGTAGTCTGCAAGGCACACGGCGTCTTCGGCCTGGAAAAAAAGGGTAAACCAGGAAATTGGGGTGCTTTTTGATACCATATTAATGTAACCCTTATGACGATTGTCGAAATGCATATCCAAGTATTTCTCCTCGAAAAATGACTTGCCGCAGAGACCGCATGTCCATTGGGACGGCCGGTGTTGTTGCTTGGCGGCTTGTTGGGGCCCGAAAATGTCTCTAATGGGGTGAAAGGGGCATTCGATGGGTAACCTGACTTTGTATTTTTCTAAAATGGGTATCCATTTGCTCTGGATGATTTTTCGCACGATTCGGGCATTATCTCGCGGGCATGAGATTTTGAAAACTGTGGGGCCCGGCCATGGTATTAAAGAAAGCATAAACAACGCAATTATCTGAAATTGATTTTAGTTGTGTTTTAAAAATTCATAGAGAAATGGGATGCGCTCGTAATATCGATTTGCGAACATCATTTTTTACGAAATTGTTCACATTGAACAAAAATCGACATACCTGCACGTTGAAATAATTGGACTTCATTCATATTCTTTACAGGTACTAGGATTAAAGAAAATTCTACCTTTCTTGTGGCATTTGTACAGCATCGTATGCTACGACGCCGAAGACGCTGGACGTCGCCGCAAGTTGCTAAGCGACGTTCACGTTTATTTAACCTTCAAAAACTATTTAATTATTCACTTATGACGCCACTTTATCAAAATTAAAGCAACATTTAAGAGCTGATCCTGAGGTCCGGTGCTTTTCCAATTTTTTTCTTGTTATTGATTTTTAACGCCGGTTGTTTATACAACCAAAATTACAATTGTCACTTTTGACACTTGAAGGTTATGTTCTTCAGCACCTGATTCTGAAATTTTTCTTAATTAATTAAAAAAAAATGGCTTTAGTTGCCAGAGGAGGTAAATAAAATTACTGATTCATGATTTTGTCTTTTAAATTACAGTTTTAGCCCTTTTTGAACGTTTGAGCCCCCTCGTCCAAGCCAAACGTTTCAGAGGCAAAATCAATATTCAGCGCCCCAAACCCGTACATCCGGAAAGAGCCATTTTAATGGAATTAACAAAACCATTCTTTATCAGTAGCAAAAAAGGCAAAAAACCCATAGACTTGTGCACAAAATTACAAGATAAATTTGTTAGAGATGAACACAACCCATTTCAACAAATAATCGCTGGAGAATTGAGAATGTGGTTCAACACTTCACGACTAGTCGCCTTTTATCACTTGAATCCCATGAAAGCAGATCAAAGATTTAAAGCTTATGCAATGTTTAAAAAAGATAACATGCATTTAAAACAGTATGGCAAGAAAACCCTTGAAATTGCATTAAAGGATTCAAAATTTGAACCGGTTTTGGATTTTTATGTCTCGCAAAACATGATAGTGTTCAGTCCGGAACCAGAAGTTAGGAAATTGTTAAAAATCACCAAAAAGTTTCCCCAGCTTGTCTTATTAGGTATTGTATAATTCAGTTCTTGTTTGCAATTTTTAATGAGTTTTGTATTTAGCTGCCATATTTGAGGGAAAATTTGTAAGTAAAGATGAGTTAATGGAATTAGAGAAAATACCAAACTTGCAAACAGCTCAAGCAGTTTTGGTTCAAACTCTCAACAGTGCGGCCACCACAATACATCAACAATTGAACCAACACCAAAATACCTTAGTTTCACAACTCCAACAAAGAATAAAGCAATTGGAATAGTTTGATAAATATATTTCGTAGATCATTTCTTTTTGCCTTTTTTCCCTTTTCCTTTTTTCTTCCCTTTTTTGCCCTTCTTCTTACCTGGAGCGATGTCCGGCTCTAAGTGGTGGTTTACACGTAAAGTAAAATTAGGCAAACACAAGAACCTGACTAATGGCAGATTTCTGACATACAGTTTGCAGAAATGAACCATATTGTTTTTAATTTCTTCCAAATTGAATAATTTGATACTGTGTGGAGGAAACTAAAAAAATAATATAATTTTAATCACACTGTAGGTAATTTCCTTACCGGTAGAGAATGACACATTTGCAATTCTTTAAAATATTCATACACTTTTTCTGGACCAACATCCAATACACTTGTGAAAAATAAATGAGTTAGATAGAACTGTGACAATAAAGCTCCAGTTTGTTCTACGGTATAATTCGAAGAAGTGCAGAATTTAGTTACAGAGTACATCAACTCTCTGAATATGATTCGGGGAAGCCCCTTGGGTTTTCTGTGCAGTTTGTTCTCTGCAACATAAAATTTGCAACCTTTGAAACGATTGGGACCTTTTTACCGATGAACTGTCTTCTGAGTCGTTTACTCTTAATTCCCAGCAAATGGATGACTTCAGGTTTTGTTAAATAATCCCAGGTACAAATGTGTGCATCCGCAACTGGAAATTTAGTTCGCTTGCAGGCTAAGTATTCTTCAGTTTGTGAGTCCTCAGTGTCGCTTGGAACACTGCTCTGCTCTGGGGGTGTTATAAAGTAATTTTTAATGTCTATTTCGTATTTGTTGGCATTTAAGGCGATACTGTCAAATGCATTTCTATTCATTTTCGTTTCAAAATTCCCGCTTTCGTTCAAAATTATTGATTTGTTAGAATTGAGCTAGTGCGCAGGTTCACAGTACGAATTTTGAATTCGGACGATGAATCGGCCTTACTCGTTTCACAACTTGTGCAAGATGGCAGACTTTGGGGAAGATGTTGTGATGGATTCTGAAGATTTGATAATTCCGAAAAACCCAGCCGAGTAAGTGCAAAAATTACCACAATTAGATTTTTTCTCCGTTTTGAGTATTGTGAGTTTGGGGTTTTACGTCGAAATGTCGTTGACACGAGTGTCACTGACTCACATTTGTTACTTGCAATTTCCCACAATTAATTGTTATTGATTCGGTTATTTCAAGTGTCCCACTTGGTGCAGTTTTAAATTTTATTTGTGCAGTTGTAATGATTTTTGCGGGTTATTTTTAATCTTAAGGTCGTACACCTTTGTAATTATTGGTTAACTCCTCCACAGTTCAGTGTTTATATTTGGTCTGGCGTGCAAATTAACAATTTAACCTTTTGTTTGGACAGTTATTTTATTTATAACGTGAATTTTATGGCTCATGCGATATTTTTTATAACTTATTGTCACTGTGACACATCTGCGGTTCTTACCAATTTATAACAACGAGGAAGACAATGGAAGTTCATCATTGCCACAATATGTAAGTCTTGTTTTCCAATTTGTTATTCTTATAATTGGGGAATTAGAAGGACCACGTTTTTATATAAGATTATCTCTGTTGTTTATTTAACGACAAATGTAACGTACAGAAGGAATAAACATTGACCACAGAATGTTGGTTTTTGATAAGATAAATTAAACAATGCTGATTTACTTATAAAGTCGAATTGTGACTGTGATTGTGATCAAAGTTGAAGAGAAACCTATTAAAAAAGCCCTAATCTTGCTATGGAGTAGCCACGTTATAAAATCCCAAATTTGTCAATTTTATTGCTTATTGCTATAATAACATTTAACGGCCCTTAAATTTTTACAATTTTATGACAATAATAATAATAATTATTATTATAAACCCCTTAACTGTTTAACATATTAATTTGCTAGTTTGTTCGATATTTTTGATTAGTCACGAATGTAAATCAAATCTATTGATAAAATACAAAGTGATCAAGAATGAATGAATCTGTTGGCAATCCTGACTTTAATTCTTAAAGGAAACCACTGGAGTATACTTCTGATTAACAAGAATTTAACCATGTTGGGGGGTACGACAAGTATTTATCAAAGAAAACGGTATCCGTTTGCAGTCTTACAAATTATTAACAATTTGTTGCCAACTGAAACAGTCCTAAATGATCACGCTGTATTTATTTATATAGAAAAGATGAAAAATGAAGTTTGAGAATTTTACAATTTTTACTCGTAACTAAAAAAAAATGGTTTTGTAGCTACTCGATTAATTAAAGTATAAAACGTATTGTCTTCATTACACTATTGTTTAACAGGGCTTGTTTAATTGCCAAAGTCAAAAACGTCTAAGTTGTCAAGCTGCATAAAAAAATAGGTAATAGGTACAGTTTTAGCGGGCTTATTCATTTGATAAAATTAAAATTTTGAATTACGTTGCATTGAGCTGTAGGAATTACAAATTTCGATTTAAAAACTTACTATACATAATAATTTTAATAATTTAATGATTTTTACATTTATGGGTGAAATTGTGAAATCAAAGAATCTGATGCTTTTATAACAAAAAAAATATTAAAGTCAATTAATCTACAAGTACTTAATTGTACCAAAAATTTAAAATTGTTTTTTTATAGATGATAAACTGTGGTGATAACTGATGTTTTTAAATAAATTTCTGATGAAAGTGACCTATGCCTTTAAAATTAAGTTGGTGACACCGAATTATTGGTAATATGATATCTATGATAAGGTCGTTCAACAAGGAATTACTGTCTAGGATTTAGGGATATTTGTTTATTGGTTTATTTTAAACTACCTGTCAGCTTGTATGGATAACTCTGTTGATAGTTGACAGAATACGTCAACCGTCAACAACAATGGGTACCTAACTAACTTTAGGCATTCAAAATTACTTTTGAAAATTACAAACAACATGAAAAACGTAATTGGTATTTTTTTTAAAAGTTCTCAAATCCTAGGTGGTAATTTCTTATTGATAATACTGTATTAGTTTGTGTCAGGTGACGGGCATTCCAGCGGCCGCCTCTTGGAAATGAATAATAATTGACAATAAAAGTGTGACGTTTGAATTTGATATTTTGTATTGCCAACTTAATTTCAAAGTCATAGGATACTTCGATAAAAAATTGATTTGAAAGCAAGGTATAAAATATAGGTAGTAATGTAAATGTTTTTATTTTTTAATTTGGTGTCAAAGCTATCCATGAAAGTTTAATTGTGAACAAAACCACCATAGTTAATCTGACATTTGACACCTCGCCGAGCGTATTATGGTCCGTTCACAATACACTCACCGCCAACCATGATGCCAAATTTAAGCAAACACCCGCTATACAACAAAAGTTGACATTTTGGCGAAATCTAAAAAAATTCATATCTTCGTTATTATAGAACATACGGATTTGAAATAAAGACATTATACAGGCACTTTTTTACAAAGAATTTAGTAATGTAGTTAACTATTTTTTTCAGTTATTTGTTTAGCTGTAATAAGATAAACTTGTATTTTTTAAATGGAAATCATAGGCGGCTATGACAATTTTGAAAAGCTTATTTTTTTCTGATCTAAATAATATATTTCTAACAGAATATTTTTTTATAATTATACTTAAAAAATTAAATACATATTTTGCTTGATAATAGTTGGCCATGGAAAAACTATCTCACTCCAAATGTAAATAATAATCAATAAGAGTTTTGTGAACTGTAAAAGAGATGAAAAAACTCGATAAAATTATAAAAATTTAAAAAATACAATACGTGAACAAATATGCGAGCGTCTCAGAACAAAATTATGCATATTTTTAAAAAATCCAAAAATAAGAAAAACAAATGTGTCAACGTCAACAAAATTAAAAAAAAAATTTTTTTGATGGTCTAATGGAGGAATGATAAAGTTCCACATAGACGGAATTTGGGTATTTGAATAGCCATATGGTCATTTTTGTGTCATATAAAAAATATTTTATTGAAGAATTAAGTGTTTACAACACTAGTAGTTACAATAGTACCTAATGTTAGCTTGTTTAAAAACAATAAAATGTTATTAGTCGACAATAAGTTGATTTACGAATTATTTTGTATTTTTTTCATTACTTAGTGCTTAGAAAACTCTTTCATTAGTGACCCTTGTTGAATAATATAGTTTAAATCCTTTTAGTTGAAGATGCAACATTTTTTTCATAGCCAACTGCAAACATAAATCAAAAATAATTTTTTGCTAAAAATGTATTATAATATTCTGTTAGAAATATATATTTTTTAGATAAGAAAAAAACAAGCTTTTTAAAAATGACATAGCCATCTATGATTCCCATTTAAAAAAATACAAGTTTATCTTATTACGGCTAAACAAACAACTGAAAAAAATTGTTAACGACATTATTAAATTCTACGTAAAAAAGTGCCTGTATAATGTCTTTATTTCAAATCTGTGTCTTCTATAATAACGAAGATATGAATTTTTTCAGATTTCGCCAAAATGTCAATTTTTGTCTCTAAGTCGAAAACAAAAGACGATAGCGGGATGCGGTTTTACCCAATATTATTTTTTCAAAAAATGAGCCCCAGAATGTATTACTCATTTTTGGCTAAACCTTTTAGTTTCGGAGATTCCCTATTCGTACATCCAAAATGCAGCACCCTGTATACTGCGACTTTTTTTTTACTTTACTCTCTACAGAAGCATACAATTAATGAATTGAGTAGTGCTGTGCAACACAATTAAAGTCTGTCTATACAACATATTTGCTTGAATTTTATGGTGCAACAGAGGCAATTAACTTTTTGGACCTTTAGCGATGAAGAAACCCTAATCTCTTAATTGTAAAGGTTTGTTTTCTTTAGGGTTGATTCGATGGCCAGTTGGTCACTTTGGTAACAGTAGCCCTCATTACATCTCTCATAAAACTAGTTTGGTAAGTCAAAACCATAAAATTCAAGCAAATTAAGACGGATTTTAAACAAGGTGTTTCACATAATCTTATGAAGTCTGTGTCTGTACATGCAGTGGCGGACAATATAATCGCGTACACTGCAAAAATCAAGTAACACATTTTTTCTAATTTATTCAATGTGTAAATTTATCTTTTTTTGAAGCATCAAAGCATTTTTAGAAAAGAAGTATACTTCCTTTTTGTTCCCATCTTTTCTTCTCTCTTAAAATTGTGCTTTTGTTTAAATTGTATTAGTCTGCAACTGCGCCACTATACGCACCCAAAAATGTAATGTAATAATCTCAAAACACTAAACACAAAAAAATACACTTAATTATGATGTTTTTAGAGAAACCCTAGACTAATAATTAATTAATCATTATTTATTTTTTAGTTTTTATTTTTTTTTAAACAATTCTGTTTTCAAACAGCGAAAGGGCATAGAGGTGATCCTATCGATCTATCCTAATCGTTAACTAACAAGGAATGTTGACGTTAATTATTGCCATTTGCTTAGAGGGTGTACAATTACAATTACAACTACAATTAGTAAATTGTACATTACTGTTTACAATTTCCAAGCCCAGGCCTCGTAAAATTATGTGAAATACCTTGAATATGGGACTACGATTAAAGTTAAAAAATGCTCTGTTGTGTGGAATCTATTTTGTATTACATTTTATTTTCGTAAGGGCCATTTTATATGAATCAGCTAATATGTTTTGTTGTAGCTATTACAAAATTTTTGTTCTTATTTGGAGGTTATTAACATCGTTAGTTATTCTGCGAAATTCTTGTTAAATTTGATGTAAGATTTGTGTAAACTTCCGTTATGTCATTGGTAATGGTAATTTATTTTTTTCTTTTCTCACTGATTGTCCTTATCAATATAATTTCCTTTCTTCATAGCGTGATTCACTTCATTAAAAGGCAATTTTCACTCATTCTTGTTACACTTTCGCTCCATCGTTTTTATGAACCCACTGCTTTCAGACTTGCCGAATTGAAAAAAGAAAATGGCAATCAATTATACAAAGTCAAGCAATACCGATCTGCCCTCAATCTCTACACCGAAGCCATCGAATTATGCCCCGAAACCGCCGCCTATTACTCAAACCGCTCGGCATGTTACATGATGTTGAACAACTTTCAAGAAGCATTGGAGGATGCACGCAAATCTATAACCATCGATCCCGCATACAGCAAAGGCTACATTCGAATTTTGAAATGTGCTGTAGCTCTTGGCGATCTTACAACAGCGGAAAATGCAATCAAACAAATCAATCAACTGGACAAAAACGCCAATATCAACAATGAAAGTCGTTCTTTCGAAAAACTCAAACAATTCGAAACAGAGGCAGCAAAAGCAATGGAAAAGAAAGACTTTCGAAAAGTTGTTTATTGTATGGATAGGTGTTTGGATGAAGCGCCAACTTGCACACGTTACAAAATAATGAAAGCCGAATGTTTGGCTTTTTTGGGGAGATATCAGGAATCGCAAGAAATAGCCAACACTGCATTACATTTGGATAAAACAAACGCTGATGCTATTTATGTAAGAGGAATGTGTCTTTATTACGAAGATAATTTGGACAGCGCGTTTAATCACTTCCAACAAGTCTTGCGACTTGCACCCGACCACAAGAAAGCTATGGATATATACAAGAGGGCTAAAGAACTCAAAAAGACTAAGGAAAGTGGCAATGAAGCGTACAAAAACTGCCGATTCCAGGAAGCTTTCACTCTTTATACAGAAGCATTAGCAATCGATCCTCTCAACAAAAAGGCCAATGCGAAACTATACTTCAACCGTGCCACAGTCCAGCACCGACTTGCCAAAACTAAAGAAGCCGTCGACGATTGCACTTCAGCTCTACAACTCGACGACACGTATCTCAAAGCCCTTCTACGAAGAGCGAGTTGTTACATGGATTTGGGCGAGTACGAGGACGCAGTCCGAGATTACGAAAAAGTTTGCAAATTGAATAAGAGTCGAGAGCATCGAAAGCTACTCCAAGATGCGAAATTCGCACTCAAAAAGTCTAAACGCAAGGATTATTATAAGATTTTGGGAGTGGAAAGGAATGCAACAGAAAGCGATATTAAGAAGGCATACAGAAAGAAAGCGTTGATGTTGCATCCGGACAGACACGCCAACGCTACAGACGCCGTTAAAAAAGACCAAGAGAAAAAGTTTAAGGAGTTGGGAGAGGCATACGGGATTTTGTCAGATCCGAAGAAAAAAGCCAGGTATGATAGCGGGCAAGATATGGATGAGTTTGAGGGGGGAATGTCAGGTATGAGAGTTTTGTTTAGTTGGAATAGGGATGAAAAGGATTTTTTGCAGATATTGACCCGACTCAAGTGTTTCAATCGTTCTTTGGACAGCCGCACAGTTGCCCAAATGACTTCAATTTGGGTGGAGGCTTTCCTGGAGGATTTCCTTTCCAGTTTAGTTAGGAATCTGATGTACTGTCTAAGTCATAATTTAAAACCCCTCCACATTCCACGCCTTCATGACAGTAAATTTTGCTAGATTTAGCCTTCTTAACAAACAAATCCTAAGTTTAACCCGTTTATTTCCCTAATGCCTCTTCTGTTTATTTATTTTGAGGAAGACTGCACAAGTTTTCTTGTTTCATAATTGTAAATCGTTCCAAATGTAAATTTAATATATGTATAATACTTTATTAGTTTATTAATTTACATACAAATCCACACTTTCCTGGTTCATTATCCGCTAATTCTTCCTTACGAGTATCTTGTACCTTCTTTTTTTCTTTTGTTTTTTGACGATTTGTATTCTTGTTTGTCGTACTTGTATTCTTGATTGTCGCATTTGTAGTTTTTGGTTTAACTGAGCAATTTGGTTTGTACCGTGAAAGTTCCACAGGTTCTACAGTTTTCTTGTAACGTTCACAAATTTTTGCCTTCTCATCTGAACTTCTCCTAGTATCAACTTTAGACATAATGTTTTGAAAACGCTTGAGTTGGATTATGGGGAGTTCCCTTGATTCAAGCTTGGGATTTGTCATCATTCTTTGTACAAAACCACGTTTTAGACTAGACTCGTTTTGAGCTTTTTCTTGCTTGGAATAGTTTTCTTTCTGGTATAGATCGCGTTCTTTGAACCATAATCGCATATATTCGTTGGACATTAAGAAGCGGAAATTGACTTGTTTGACCTGGATCAGAAGTACTTAAATGAATTGCAAAAGAAGTATTGCACATACATTTTCATATTGTGGTTTAAATCCCCAAGTTCCAACTTCGCGAGCTTTGGATGAAATTATGTGGTCGGTTGGGTAGATGGTAGATGCGCGTTTCCATTTCAGGGTGCTTTTCATTAAGATAAATTTTAAGTTTCAAATTTATAAGTGTAAATGACAAAAAGTGACATATATTGCAAGGGTCTATTGATGGGCGTTGCAATAAAAAATCGATTGGTTTAATCTTTTATTATTTACAATAAAATTCGATACAGTCGCAATAACATTGAATTCATTATTTCATAAGGGTTAACATCAGTCGTACTATCGATGATAGTCTCGAGTCTTTGGTTTGTGTTGGGAGAGGGGAATAAAAGACATTCACATTATTTGCACATTTGCAATTATTTGGCACATACTCGAAAACACCCGTTACAATGGATAAATTAACATTTTTGTTACTTTAACAACATTCCTGTGTGAGGATTATCACTTCAATTAAATTTAGTACAGTGTTCTCACGTCAAAATTATTTTGAAAATAGTTTTTAAACAGTTTATTTAGATGTCTTCAGAAACAAAAACATTACATTCGTGAGGTCTTTTTAACAAAACAAATTTTCAATAATCACTTTCCTTTTAAAAATTTTAGTTTCCTTTAAAAAATAGAGAAAAGTATTTCAAAAATACACAGGTCTTGTATTTGAATTTCTGTTCTTATTTTTCATTACAAGTATCTAATTAAAATTTGTTTATATAAGCATTTATAAAGCAAATTATAAAATAATTCAAAGTCATTCTTGAGCTCCAAAAGAAAAATATTGAGTTGTACAAAATTATTTAAAAAAAATATGTAACCCAAACAAAAATTATTTTTGTAAAGAGCATGAGATTTTGTCTGTGGGATTTAGAAGAGTAGAATGAACTGGAAACACCCAGTTGCTACTCTTACTTTTTGTTAATAAACCAAAGTCATAACATTTATAAAAATATTTACACAACTCAAAAAATTACACAAGAGCAAGTTCTCATTAAAAAGCTAGTTTAATGGCATTTAACGCCTTTTTTTACAGAAAATTTCAGTTTTGTTGTCAAACAAGTACCAGAGGATAATTAGAACGTTCAGTGTTACAATTTAATGTTCTGGAAACTGAGAATAATGAATTTCATTTACATTTTAGCGGATTTTAATATTTTTCGTAAAAATGAGCGGATTCAGTAATAAAATTAAGGCACTCGATTAAACAGTTCCCTACCCCGTTAGTACCTATTTTACATTGTAAGTTAAGTAGTTCAGTCAGGTATTGTCAAATAATGAGCAGGGTTATTTTTTAATTTCGTTGTCAAAACTATGTTTCCTCAGGGACAAACCATTTTTGTTTGAAGAAAATAAATTTCAAAAACCTGTCCCAACTCTTTTCAATGCTAAATATTGTTTTTTGCCCCATCTTAACAACAATGACTTAAAAAAATATAATTTAATTAAAATACCTCATATCCATATATACAATAAGCGGATACACACAGAGTGTTCAAAAACACATATTTCACACATTCGCACCTAGCATTTTCATCGAATTTGCCCACACAACCGTATTCTTCCTCTTCTGTTCTTGTCAATCCGGTAAAGTCTCTAAATACTGTACAGGTTCTTTGACCTCATTCGCCAACAGATATCCTTGTGCATCCAATAGATCTTCCTGAGAGATCATCCTCAGCGGAGGCGGTCTGGGTAAACTTCGCACGTTTTTCACATTGACTTTTTGCGTTTCGTTTTCGTACTGGATGCTCACTTTGTCTTCGTCGAAACTTTCGTAGGCCAGTTCCAGTTTGTCACAAATGTTGGGGAATTTTATTCGGTCTCGGGGCTCTGTTTTCCAGCAGTTTTTCATCAGTTCACAGATGAGAGACGGACAGTCTTCGGGGGCGATTAACATTATGCCGTCTAGAATTAGTTTGACGGCTTCTTCGTTGGTATGGCCGTAGTAGGGTTGTTTGCCGAAGCTGTAAATTTCCCAAAGAACGACTCCGTAAGACCAAATGTCTGATTCGAGGGTGAAACGGCCGTAGAGGACGCTTTCGGGAGACATCCAACGGACGGGAAGGAGGCGGCTGCCACCGATCTGGAAATACATACATTTTTTATTCGAAAATATTAAATAAAGTTTAATTAACTAATTTCTGGAATAATGAATAGTAATATAAACGTACGACTTAGAAGACCGATTCAAGAAACAGTTTGAAATTCCGAGACGAACCACGTAGTAGTGAGTTGAAGAACAAACGATTGCTTGAATGGCCTTCTATAACGAGTCTTTCATACATTTTTTTTTCTATTTTTATGCTGTTATTAAAGAAAAAAAGAAAATTTTAAAATTTAGGAAATTTTGCTTCATTTGGTGGCACGTATCACTGTGTTTGAAAATTCATTTTGTCATTGTGTGTAATATGGAAACGTATAAGATTTTTCTTGTACACTACCAAAAATTTACTTTCAACGACATTGTCACCTACATTAACATAACGTACACTAGGGTGTTGACGGACTGAGAAGCTGTTAACGCTCCCAAAAGAGTTCTTTAATAGGTTGTTAAATAAAGAAAATAGAAAAAAATAGCCATTATTATTTGTACCTATTTGAGATTGAGTGAAATTGAAATTTCGGTTCTATAAAAAATACAGACAAGGTGAACAACCAAAAAAAAAAAAATCGCTTTTTTTTTAATCATTTATTGCCTTCAGAAAATACTTAATGACTTTTCTACCAAGGATAATTTTTGGTACCAGTCTTACAACACACCATTTAACTAAAAATAAAAAAACTTCCAACACGTCATATTTTTAATTAATAATTTTATTTGATAAACGTTAACCTAGTGCATTATTATGGGAAATAATAGTTATTTATACAGGGTGCGCCAGAACTCGCGCCCCAGAGAAAAATGTCATATAAGGTAAGATACCAGGAACATGGAAAAAATGTTAAAAAAATTTTATCTATAAAAATTTCGAAGTTATGAGGGTTTAAAGTTTGCACTTTGACTCTATTTATTTCTGTGAAAAAAATAATTTTCCAAATTTTTTTTGCTATAGGCTGTTAAAAGAGGAAACAGGGAAGCTGTATCCTAAATTGTAAGTCTGTTCAATGTTATTTGTGGCTTTTATTGGGAAAATTTTTGTCCCTTTACTAAATAATTGTACAAAAACATATACAAGATCATCAGTATCAACAAATAGATTTAAAAAATGTCAAATGTCAAAAAATAAATGTCAAAATTTTTTGACAGATAGAATTTTTTAAACATTTTTTTCATGTTCCTGGTATCTTACCTTACTTGAAAATTTTCTCTGGGGTGCGAATTCTGGCGCACCTTGTATATTAAGGGTATGGCATGAGGGAATGTTTAAAGCCCGAGGAACGAGGGCTTTTAAATTCCCGAGGGCCATAATCGACAATCATGAACGTGGGACATACCACGTTTTATTCTATTTTGTAATTTCTAAAAAATTCAAACAAATATTTAGAATTCCTTAAAGGAAATCAAGTAAAACTTGTGTTCATGCAAATTTTAGTGTTGGGTAGAAAGTTAGCTATTTTGATGTTGTTAAGGTTATTGCGTTTGTTTAAAAAACAATTCATTTTTCGAAACAAACCTTTCCGAAGTGGAAAGCTTTTATTCAGAAGGAATTTTACAAGAATTTGAAACTGCTCAGGGAAAATTGGTTCCCCAGAAATCAAAGGATTTGTATGTGAAAGAATATGACAAGTTTTGATACCATTGTTTGAATCGTCGTCCGCGTTGATTGACAGCAATTAATTAATTAACTAATTAATTAATTACTGTCAATCAACGCAGAAGACGGTTTGAATAATTAAACTAACCGGTGCTTGCCAGATTTTTGACAGATCTGTGCCATAAAAACCAATTTGTGCCTTCATTTGGGGGCGTATAACGATGGTTATTGACTAAAATAGATTAAAAGTAAATTTCATTCTTTACTACAGATTTGTAATCGCAAATCAATTTATTTTCCATTTAAGCAAGTAAAAAAATGAATCCTTTATGTTTCTAAGAAAAAACTGTCCTCAAGTGATGCGAAAATCCGAGAAGGAATTTTCGTAGGACCTGGAAAGTGATTCATAATGAAGTTTTAAGGCAAAAATTAAATACCTGAGAATTATATAATTGCTTGAAATTTTAAAGAGTGTAGTCCACAAGTTTCTTAACAATAATAAAAATGAAAATTATTTTATATTTATCTAAAAACTCTTGGAAAATTGTAAAAACACTTGGTTGCCGAATGTCTAAAAGTGCATTTTCCAATTCGATTTCTTTCTACACAACTTAAGGACTGTAATAAGTGATAAACAAGAGCGTTTTCATCAAGATATTAGTACCATGGAAAAAAGGTATCAATAAGACATATAGGGGATTCGACAATGATGGGGAACTTCTGCAGATTTCTGCAAAAGGAAGACTTTACTCCCATAAAAACAAAAACGAAATCTTTGAAAATATTTCTTTGTTAAATTTGTGTTTTTATTTATTATACAGGGTCGCGAAAGTATGGATATCGCTAAATATTTTCAGAACGGTTTAGCGGAGCACGTTGAAATTTGGGAAACAGTTTGCTTATTTTTTGGTCAAAATTCAGGCGGCAAAGAGCTAACGACAGATAAAGACAACATTTCCAAGGTTTAAAAAAAATTACATTTTTCAAAATTTAATTAGTTCCATAATTTATTTATAGAAAAAAATGCTCTCCTCAAAAATATTAAATTTGACCCTTTTTACCATTAAAAAAAAATAAAGTGAACGTTGTATCCCCCGAACAAATGAAGCGATGGAAGCATATACCAAATTTCAGTTTTGATGAGTAGTTTTTATAATATTTAACTGTTTCCATACTTTTTAGCAACCCTGTATAGTGTTTCATTTTATGTAGTTTAAAATTAGAAATGGTTTAATACATTTTTTAAGTTCAGTCTGTATCGTGAATATGAGCGATTATTTCGACTACTCTTTAAATATATTATAAAAACAAAAATAATCAAAAATCCTTACGTGATGGAGAATTTTGGTTATAATTTTTAGATTTTCTGAACAAAATTACATAGGGTACAGGTATTTTTGTATCAATGTTAGAAAAAAAATTGAAAAAATGTTGCCTAGTGTAATTAATAAAAATTAAAGTGGTTGTGTTTTGAAAATGAAATTTTGTTCTGTTTTTGAATTATGCAGTTTTTTCTCAAAATGTCAACATGATTTTTTTTTCAATAAAGAATAATCCTTAGATCATAGCCTTTATAGAAAAGGTTTTATAGTTGATTGCTATTTATAAAATGAAAAATTTTGGAACTCAAAAAATTGAATAATTCTATTTTTGTTAAAACGTTGCATTTGTATGGTACTTTTTCATTCAACAATAATTTTTTCAAAAAAAAAGTTTAAGCAAAAACGTTTGGTTTCATATTTTTTCTGTTTCCTTAATGGTCATGAGGTCATGACCCATCAGGAAATAAAATTATTTTGGACCAGGATAATCTATTGGCCTCATTCGAATAAGAATAATACTCAGAGTATTCTAACCATTTTAAGTATTCAGAATATTTCAAGCACCTCTTATTTTTTCTATTAATCATGATGGCAATCTTAAAAACCACTAAAGAAATGAAAAGAAAGACGTGTATTACGTAAAAAGTCAACTCTTATGCGAAAAGGCTTCAAATATTTCGTTATAAAGCCAAAGAGTTTCCTTTGACCTGTGGCAATTTTTTCATTTAAGTATGAGAAATATAAAAAGAGAAAATATTTTCAATGAGATTTCAGCTCTTTACGTGAAATTCATTTTTCAGACTGAAAACAATTTCATATTTAAATGAGATACATGTTTCAAAAACTTAATGAAGGTAAACAAGAAATTATGTTTTTATAAAAAACATAAACATTTCTTGAGAAATAATCTAAAAAGTTTACACAAGTATACTTATTTTGGATCCAATGATCAAAGTAATTGTTTTGCCAATTGGGGGTAATGTGGGCGTCATCAGCCCAAAATTGGGAATTAATTGTGCACGTGGATCCCCCGTCGCATCCTAAATCCCTTGTCGGTATCTTCTACGAGTTTTGAACGTTTCAATGATTAGGTAAACAGATTAACCTTAGAAGGAAGTACATGAACCTTAGGTTGACGACCCTATCTGTACCCATAATATCGCGTAACGAGCAAAGTTCATTGAAATGATGAACTAATTAGAAGAAATATGTGAAACTTTATAAGCGAGATACGACACGTGTGGTGTGATCAAATGCTTACCTTGTAATAATCGCACGTATACACATCTCTGCTCATTCCGAAGTCTGCAATTTTTACAGTCGGTCCTTCCGCCACTAGACAGTTCCTGCAGGCGAGATCACGATGGACGAAACGTTGGGCCGCGAGGTATTTCATCCCACTGGCGATTTGAAGCGCGATGGAGAGCAGATCTTTGGGCTTTAATTGGGGAACTTCATTCTCGTAGGCGGTTTTCTTTTGCGCTCGAAGCAATTCCGCCAAATCTCCGTGGGGCATGAATTCAAAGACCATCATCGGGCTTACCACACCTTCTAAAAATAAAATTTAGATTTCTATGATAATAACAACTTATCTCAACTTGCATAAAAGTTACAAGAATTTCTCTGCAAAAATTGTCGAAAATTTAGTTTTTTACAAGAGCGATTGATTTTGTAAAGCCAGACACCTATTTTCAATAAAAATATTTAATATTTATTTATAAATTTTTTGCTGTGCGTTTAGCGGTTTTGTAAAAAAAATGTTTTATGTTGTTTCTCTTTGTATTACTGATTTTTTAAATACTCGTAGTAATATAAATTGAGATTTTTTAAATAAATATATGTCAGATACAGAAACAAAGCTCCTACATTCTTTTTAAAACACGCTTCCGAACAGAGCTTGATCCAAGTGTGTGGGAAATGTAAAATTTCATAGATTATCCTATTAGTGAATTATTGAAAATTGTTTTACGAATAAAAAAGGAATCATGTTTGTAGATACTTTCAATAAATGCATGGATTTCTCTAGTGGTCATTTTTCAATGTTTGATCAAATTACATAGGAGACAAGTCTTCCAAAGCCGCGGTCAATAATTGGTTATTTAATTTATTGCAAAGTTGGCAGCCCGTAGCCCACCACCTGTGTGAGTTGTGTCTATGTTGGCAACAGAAGTTACTAAATTGTGTCAACAAATGTGACAGGCACAGTAAATTTTCATGTGAAGAATTCTAACACGACTTTTTCAGAATCGTCATTTTTTTATTTTTGATAGATATGTTCCTAAAAAAACAATTAGATGTTTAAAGCCGGATTTACACAACTCAATTTTTACAAATTTACACAGACCAATGGTCACTATGAATTGACGGCGACTTTAAAAATTAAATTTAGACAAAAACAACAGTGTGATCAAAAAGTCTGCTTATCAAGCAGGCCTAGAAATTTAAAAAGTGTGTCTGCGGAAGATAAAATGTCACAATGAGAAAATGTCAAAATAATTTTTATGTAAACTGTAACAGGAATTCGAGTTGGATGATTTGAATGAATAGAGTGTTTTAAGACGTTTCATCTGGTAATTCAATTTGCTTAGATCAATATTTTTTGACACCTAGTTGACATACGAACTACCAGGCGACATACGTCCTTAACTAATGTCTACCTACGCCTGCTTGATAGAAAGACTTTTTGACTGCACTGTATTTAGAATGCATTTGTTGACGTTATAATCCCATTTTTTTTATTTTAGAAGAAACTGATAATAAGTAAAAATTTAATAATTGTGTTAGAACTGCAAGCTTAAAAAATTGAAGCATTGAACAGCTTTCATTTAATTTTTTTCTAAAGTAAAAATTAAATTTGTGAAAAATATAAAAAATATGTGTAATAAAATTAAAAATCATTTTGACTGTGCTATGACTCCAAATTGGGTTCGTTAACATTTATCAGTGTATTAAAATCGATAAAGGTGTTTGCTATCATATCACATTACATTTAGTTAAAGTTATAGGTATGTGTTTCAACTTAAATTTAACCAATTTTTTATCTACCTCTCCTTAAGCTATGAAAAAAAAATGAACACCGTTAAATCTAACCAAATTTGAATATTTATGTCCTATTCAAACCTCCAACTTGTCCATTTTGGCTTTTTTCAATAATCCTTAATCAAAATCTGCCAATATCTGCACTGCTATTAAAACTCAGTATTTTACGCTTTTAAATTCCTCTTTGAAACTCTTAATAATTACAAGCAAGAGGTATTTTGTTATTAAGCTTCATTTTCTTAGTTTAATTTAATACTGTTCCCGTTGACAAAGAAAAGTGAGTTGCTTTAGAAAAATTCTAAAAGTGGCGCACAAGAAAAACCAATCAAGAGATGCTTCATTACATATTTTATATGTAGTTATCTATTTTTAGAATGTAATTTGTCTTGACACGACCTCCTCTTTTTGGAATTTTCCTAATGATACCCACCGATCTAGATTTCCCAAGAAAAATGGAAAATTGCTACTAGAGACTCTACATGCGTAGGCAGAGTAAATTTTATTTTCAATCTTTTTACGTTTTATGTTTCCGGTTACCTAATTGCATTTTTCGTCGATTTTATTACTACTGAAGGAGACAATTTTAAGCATCTGTTGATTTTCCAGTCAAGCTGAATTTTACATCACGTAAAACAAAATAATATATACCACAAAGATATTCGACTTGATTATTCTCCTACATTTCTTATTTCATACTTCTCTTGTATAATTAGAATTGTAGTAGTATCATTAAACGAAAAAAAAACAACAAACAGCAAATATGTCAAAATTAATTTCCGTCTAGTAATATCAAAATTGTTTGAAATAAAAGAAAATAATTACCTCGAACCACCATTCCCAGCAAAGAAAGAATGTTGTCGTGTCTGAAAGCGCTCATAATTTCAACTTCCCTTATGAAATCTTCTTCGGCTTCTCGCGTTGCGTTTTCTTTTAATACTTTTATGGCTACAATTTCCACTTGGTCAGTGCCTTCCGTTAGAAGTTCACCTGTAAACAAATCATTTAACACCGTTAGTCAACAACAAAAACTGAAAGGATTAACAAAGCTCTCAGCATTGTCTGGTCAATAATTGACGGCGTTTCATTATTGGTACAGCATTTACGCCTTTTCTTAGTTCATCAACGTTTTTTCAAGTTGATTATTTCTATTTTGAAACGCAGACACGGGTCTAAGCCGGGGACGAGACTTTAAATGAAAAACGTGACACTTTTAGTTCATACCATTTATATTATGCTTCAAAGTCTGCGCATTGAATTACTAATTTTAACAAAATATTTACGTGACTGTTTTTGCTGCTAGACAATATTTCTGCTTTTGCAGATAGTGTCTTGCGGAAAAATTAAAATAAAATCCAGAAAAAAAAACTAAATAAATTACCCGGCTAGGGATTTCGTCGCAAGGACAACGAACAATGAGACTAACTAACCAAATTATACAAACAGCCCAAAATAAATAATTTATAAAGTAACAAGAACTAGGCATACATGATGTCTTTTACAATCATGTTATTACACTTCGAGCTAAAAGAGCAATTTGATCCTATTTTCCACTGGCAACTTTTTACTACATTTTGTCCTAAATAATTGAAGGGAAAGTTAGCTTAATAAATGCAATAATCAGCACAAATCAGTGAGAGAATTTAATAATTATTTTTGTAAATGAAATCAAATATGGTGTTTCAGCATAATGAATGCAAAAACTCATTTACCAGGTAAACAATCCAAATGACGATTCACTGAAACAATTTACTCTCACTTTTTTCAGAAATACTAAAACATTATTGTGTTTAAGCTCACTAATTTTAAGTTTTTTATTATGAACTGTAAATATTTGCATATTATATTTCATTTGTACACACTTAAAAAACTGTTTAAATATTTAACATCAAACAGAATACAAAGTATATTTAATTTGCTAACAATTGTTTACAAGCGCATTGTAGTCACATAAATTGCGAATTGGAAGTTTTTGGTACAAATAATTCGTTTCAATGAAAATGTTAGATTTATTAAAGGAATATTTTGAGCATAAAGGGTTACAACAGCTTTCCGAATGATGCTCGTTGAAGTTTGAATGGTTTTTAATTATTTTTTTAATTTCCAGCGTTTGGTGTTTAATCGTCGACAAGTAAAAATTTTCGAGTAAAGGCACAACAGAGTAAATTCACTTTTTTCCTTTATCTGTGTTAATTTAATACAGAAACAGCCTCAAGCGAGGATGATTCGATATTAAGTCTAGACAAATTTAATAAAAATGGGACTTGTATCCCTGGATTTTTGCCGTCTTTTGCTTGAATATTTTAAAGTTTGTTTGACGCTTGTCAAAATCAAAATCTGATTCGTTTTACTCTCACCATTCTATCCTCTGTCAAGATTAAGAAAAGCACAAAAAACTATTTCCGGATTTGTAAATTATTCTGCGCAGTTTTCTAAAAAGTTGAAAAAGTTTACAGTTGAATAAATCAAGTTTAAATTGCTAATTTTCCTTAATGGGAAATATTTTTATGGTCTTAAATATTAAATAGGTTTACAATAGAATTATGGAAATGTTAAAGTGCCATTCTTATTTTTTAATCTTATAAACTTTAACGCAAATTGAACCACTAATTAAATGAAATCTATTGAGAAAAGACGTTTGATAAGATTAGATTACAGTTTTTTTTTGCTTTTGAGAATGGCGATTTCGGTATTTTCAGTATTTTCACTCTTTTTTACACAATATACAGGTGCGCCAGAACTTGCGCCCCAAATTTTTAAGTAAGGTAAGATAACAGGAACATGGAAAAAATGTTTAAAAAATTCTATCTGTCAAAAAAATTGGCAATTATTTTTTGACATTTGACATTTTTTTATGTCTATTTAATGATCCTGATGATCTTGTATATGTTTTTTTTAGAATTATTTAGTAAAAGAACAAAAATTCTGCTAATAAAAGCTACAAATAACATTGAACAAAGTTACAATTTAGGATGTAGCTTCCTTTGTTTCCTCTTCTAATAACCTGTAGCAAAAAAACGTGGAAAATTATTTTTCCAACAGAAATAAATAGAGTCAAAGTACAAAATTTAAACTCATAACTTCGAAATTTTTATAGGTAAAACATTTTTTCCATGTTCCTGACATCTTACCTTATATGGCATTTTTCTCTGGGGCGCAAGTTCTGGCGCACCCTATATGTGTGTATGTTCATGTATGCATGTATGACTGTCTAAAATAATATTTTTTGTATACGCTCCCGGAAATAGCTGTTTTACGGACTCATGTGAATCCCGAAAATGAGTAATTTCCAGGCTCAACTCAATAGAGTATGTAAAATGGTTATTTTAGCGACTCAGTCCTCAACAACAGTTTTTCTGAACGAAAAAGTCAATTTGGTTACTATAGTGGTGAATTTTTTTTAATAATTAAGAGGTGTGAATTCGTTTTTTGGGAGCTTTAACAAAAATATGTTGTTTGTAACACGGCTTCGCCTCGTCCGGAAACAACTACGATTCCTCCATAAAAGCTGTATTTTAGGTACTCGTACTTGTAAAAAAGGTAATTATTTTCCGTTTGTTAATAAATAAAAAAACAAAACTTAGTCGTCTTAATTTGATACTGTAAATTATAAAAATGAATAAGAAAAATCAGCCAGTTTAATTATTATCATTATCAAAAAACGGATCCAAGTTAAAATTTTATTAGGTACATTAAAAGGTGTCTCCGGATAGGTGAAACGACTCTTGTAAAAAATAAAAAATTCTGGATTTAAATATCTATTTTTTGGGGTTAGCTGTGCTTGAATGAAGACGAATTTCTAACATAAATTTAATTTTGAAAAACCAAGTAGGTATCATCATGCAAGTAGGAATCAACATCTAGGCCCGTATACCAAATTTCAAAATCATCCGCCAACTCTGATTTTTTATTTTTTTGATACAATTGCTTTTTATTAATAGAAACGTCAAAAATTTATTTAGTAGGTACTAATAATCTAAATGTAAATTTTTTTATTCGTAAAAAGAAATGTTAAAAATAAAAATTCTTTGATTTGTGGATTAATAAACATAAAGAAATGAAAAATCATAGTTCGCCGATGATTTTGAAATTTTGTATTCGGGCCTAAATGTTAAACATTTTTTTTAATTAACTTTTTGTCGTACTCTACAAATAGGTTTTTTGAAAATTTCCAAAACACACTTGCTTTTTCAAAACTAAAATTATGTTAGAAATTAATCTTTAACGAAGCAGGGCTGAACCTCCCAAAAAAAATTAATCGAGAATTTTTTATCGTTTACAAGAGTCGTTTCACCTACTCTAGGCAGGCTGCTTCAAAAGCGTCGGACCAACTCTCAATGGTGATAACTCTGATAAGACTTTCAGCTGAGTATAAAAATGAATGCAGATTTTTTCAAGCTTTGGTTTCTGAAAAAAAAACAGAACGGACAAAACTGACAATTTCCATATTATCATGTAGGCAATGAATGTGTTTATTTTTATTTAATTTATTATTGTTTAAGTACCATAAGACACAACTTGGTGATTTTTTTAATAGGTATCTGTTTAATGTTGCAAAATGTTGCCGTTTCCGCTAATTAAATTTCAGATAACTACATGATCTGAACCGTTGCCATTTTGACAAAAAAATCGTATAACTCAAAAACCAACCAAATTTCATTCCCCAAAACGATCCCTAGTTTGATAGGCGTAGCACTTTAATTTTTATTAATGATTATTATTGTTTGAAGGCAAATAATTAAAAAAAACGCTAGGCACCATACTTTTATTCACCCTGTATATGCAAACTGTCCATTTGACGTAATTTATCTCAGAGACACATCCAGTCATGGTCAGAATTTACACTATAGTGGACAAATTCCATTGAAACCTGATTTATGCAAGATTTTTTTAAATTAGTTTCTTTAGAATTTGCGATTTTAATAATTATTGTTTCTAAAGATATTTGTGTCAATATTATTTACTGTTATGTAATCTGGAAGCTTCTGCTGTAGAATAAACGGCCTTTGTAAGTTGAGACAAAGTTTTGCAAAAACTTTGTAGTTTCGTTAATTTCTAAAATTATACCAAGTGAATAAAAAGTATGGAACCAAACGCTTTTTGCGTAAACTATTTATTTTTTTGAAAAACTAATTGTTGAATGATAAAGTACTATAAAAATGTGATATTTTATCAAGAAAAAAATTTTTCGAAATTTTCTTTGTGAGTTCTACAAAAATTTTAATTTTTTTAAATGCCAACTCACTCACTATACTGACTATAAAACCATTTTTCTCATTAAAGGTTATGATCTAAGGATTACAACTATCTACTTTATATTTAATTAAAAAAAAAAACATAGTTTTGCCATTTTGACAAAAAAATCCCATAACTCTATAACAAAACAAAATTTCGATCTCAAAATACGATGACATTTTTTATATTACTTTAATCTATATTAATTATTATTTTCTGGAGGCAAATGATTAAAAAAAACGCTTGGTTCTTTGCAGTGTACTTAAACATTTAAAATTGGCATTTTTACAAAATCGTGAATCATTTATGAACAATATTATTTGTGTTTCGAGTATAATCTAATTTGGTATTCCAAGTATTTGTAGATTATAATATTTTATTTTATCCCACATACGTGGTTAGTAATTAATTAATGTTTATTGAGCGAAATCCGAATTTGGGGTTTTTGGGGAGAAAAATAAGGTCATATTACCTATTAATATTACAAGTTGTTTATAGTAAACATTGATTGTTTGATGTTACTGCATGTAAACGTACCTATTTACTATTTTATTAAGCAAAATACGATATTGTTAATGGAAATTTAAATGTTGTATTTTTAAGACAATGATTATGCATTAAATATAATGAATACGTCACTAGATAAAAAAATATCTAATAATAACAACAACATATTTTTTAATAATTCCCCACAATCTAGAACGAATTAAAAACAAAGCAAACACACCAACAACCCAAGTGAGACACTGCCCTCCCTTCCAGCGCCAATTAGCGTCCAATCTCGATTAATTACCCTCAGCAATTGAATGAAATTACAGCGTGTCTCGAGCACGCCTAATCCACTACACAACACCTAGAGCTGATAGTGAAAAATGCCGTTATTTGCTTATATCTACGACCGGTCGCAGGTCACAACAGTGCTGTCGTAGAGCCGGAACGATGCTCTTCCGTCGTGTTCTCGCCCAACTCACACGCCCCAAGAGTTCGCTCGTGAGCGCTAACACAGTCCTCCATTTCGAAGACATTCCGTCGCCGAAGGGTCTCCCCCTTGTGGGCACCACCTTCTCCCTCATCGCCCATGGCTCGACCCCAAAGCTGCACGACTACGTGGACCACAGACACAAGCAATTGGGGCCCATCTTCAAGGAGAAACTAGGCCCTGTGAGTGCGGTTTTTGTCTCAGATCCGGATGAAATTAGGGCGGTTTTCGGCCATGAGGGGAAGTATCCCATGCATGTGTTACCAGACGCGTGGGTGGCGTATAATCAAATGTATGGGTGTCCCAGAGGACTCTTCTTCATGGATGGACCCAACTGGTGGCACCACAGGAGGATCATGAATCGGATGCTCTTGAAAGGGGATTTTAAGTGGATCGAGGAGGCGTGTGAGTGTGTAAGTGATAAACTTATCAAAAGTTTGATGGGTGAGAGTGACTATTGTGGGAATTTAGAGGCGACTTTGTACAAGTGGTCTTTGGACGTTATCGTCTCAATTTTGTTAGGGAGTGATAGTTATAATCAACTGTGTGAGGAGTTGGAACCAAAAGTAGAAAAATTGGCTCAAGTGACACACTTGGTGTTTCAAACCAGTGCCAAATTGGCCCTAATTCCGGCCTCATTTGCTTCCAAATTTAAAATACCTCAGTGGAGACGTTTTGTCGAATCAGTGGACAATGCTTTGACTCAAGCCAACTCGCTTGTGGACACACTTATCGAAAAAAAACCTCAAAGTAGTGGCCTCCTCCCTAAACTCCTCAACGAAAAAATCACACTCGACGACATCAAAAGAATTATCGTAGATTTAGTGTTAGCAGCCGGTGACACGACCGCTGTCGGAATGGAATGGATGCTCTACCTCGTAGCTAAAAACCCTCAAATCCAGGAAAAATTACGCCAAAAGCCCGATTATGTGAAACACGTTTTTAAGGAGACTTTGCGACTTTATCCCGTTGCCCCTTTCCTTACAAGAATTCTACCTGAGGATGCCATTTTAGGCGGTTATGGGGTGCCGAAAGGCACCCTTGTTGTCATGTCGATTTATACAAGTGGCCGTGACGAGCGATATTTCAAAAACCCGAGTCATTTTCAGCCGGAAAGGTGGGATCGCAAGGATGAATTTTACAACAGTGACATGCAGAAAGCAAGTTTGCCTTTTGCGATGGGCTTGAGGGCTTGTGTAGGACGAAAAGTGGCAGAGACTCAATTGCAAATGACACTTTTGAAGATTGTTAATAAGTTTGAAGTCGAGTTGGGAAATAAGAGGGAGATTGAGATTGTTTTGAAAATGGTGGCGGTTCCGTCAGAACCGCTGTTATTAAAGTTTAAAAAATTGTGACTGACTTGTTACCAATGTGTTTTTTAAGGTTTAACTTAATAAAGATAATAAAACTTGACTTGTGATAATTAAGGGTTATCGTTTTTATTACAACAATGTGTAACTAAACAATCATTTATTTTTATACAGTGTGTGTTAGCGTTATCACTTGAATTAAAATTTCAGACCTATCTCGTACCAACAGGCGGCGTGAGTAAATATTTATTATAATGCTCGGCTATTGTAATCCAAACAGGAATTTAATGTTTCAACATTAGAATCCCTATCGATCATTCATGAGCAAGGATTATAGCAAATTAGCACATTAATAGCGTAGGTGTATTTAGCAGATAATAACCTATCTTCGATACAAAAAATTACTGAGATTAAACTTTCTGAATAAATTATCACAACATACAAGAAACAAGCTACAGAAATTTACATTTAAACTTTGAGGAAGCTAATCATTATATAACAATAACTAAACATCTGGCAGGTAAATTTTTTTTCGGCCTTGGGAAACCGTAATCTTGAAAATACTAATTTGGAAGAAACAAGAATTGTGTTTGCAGGGCAATTTTTCGCTCTCGTATCTTGAGAAAATAAACTAATTAATTAATAATTAATCAGCAGTAATTGAAACGCGGTTATTAAACGCTCCAGGTGTTTTCACTAATAACCCAATTAAATTCATCATTTTAATATTATTATCACGAATCTTGGAATCGTTATTAATTAATACCTCTTTTTCTCGAAATGTTTATTATTGTAGGTGGATAATTTTGACGTTTATACAAAAACCGCATTTCAATATGTTTTCCTATAAATAGATAAATTCAATCTAAACTGAATCTTTCTAACTGGAAGCAAAAGAACTAACAGGTTTTTTTCGTAACGGGCAAAGATATTGCCCACAAAAAAGCAGTTTTATATACGAGTCAGTTAGTGATATTTGATGACATCATTTTACGTGGATGTTGTACTGAAAAACCTGAAAATTTAAATTTCTTAGCAATTTTGACTGTTATTTAAATTAGCTTCTCATGGGTATAATTTACATTGTTTTTCAAATTTAAATATGGCTACTAGAATCACTTCAAGACAATATTACCTTTCACTTGTTTTTTAGTTACAAAAAGTATGCAATACTTGTGTTGCAAAGATTAATTAAGACCTGAAAAATTTATTCTGGTAATAGACAAAAGAGCCATAAAAATAGTTTTTTTTTTTCATAGCCAAATTGAATTTTGATAAAACAACACTTATTTTCCATAATCCCTAAATGCCGTATTGTTTACCTTTTGTACACATAACAGAATTAATTAAAAAATGAGCGTATGTTTTACAACGGAAATTGATGTTTGCTCAGTTCGAGTTCCGAATAAACAGAAAAAGAATTCAATTTAATCACCCTAATTCAAAAATCGACCTTTATTCTTCATTAAGATACTGTAAGCTTTAATTTAAATATGTTATACAGGGTGAATAAAAAGTATGGAACCAAACGGTTTTTTTCGTAAAAATAATTAGTGTAGCGTAAAGTACAATTAAAATGTGACCATTTATCAACATTTTTCGAAATTACTTTTAATTTTCGAATTTTGCAAAAAAAAAATTTAATCTCACCCTACTGTTACATTTTTTTTTAATTAAAGATTATGATCTAAAAATGACTTCTAATTAAATAAAAATTAATTTTTATTATACCTGCATCATAATCCTAAATTAAAACACGCTGCAGCGTGCGTAATTTGGCCTTTATAGCAGGCTGAAATTTTAAAGTTGTCTAGGTAACAAGAAATAGTGAAATGTCTGAACCAATTGCAATGTGAAAAAATGTGCTTAACAACGCAAACTAGTAAACGTCTCTACGAAAACGATTCACAAACAACCTTTGATAATTTTATTGTGTAAATTCACATTTTTTCAATGCTCATAAAAGATCGTAAATGGGCAGGTATAATAAAAAATAGCGTATAACACTCGTTGATAAGCGCCTTTAAAACACTTACGACGTTAAAAGCACTCCGCTGACGCGTCGTGCTCTTAAACCCGTCGTGGGTATTTTAAAGGCTTGCTTATAAACTAGTATTATAATATATATTATTCTTCGACATTGTCAAAATTTACGGTTTTTCTCCCGTGTAAGGAAGTTTTGACAACTGTTTGGCATTTTTCAATACGAAACGTCAGATTATTTTTAACAGATTTAAAGCAAGTTTAAGCTTGTTGAGTCTAATTCTAAGAATAAAATGTTGTATTTAACTCGTTTGAGTGTAAATCGGACGCTTTATTACACTCGTGGTTTAAAAATCCACTCGGTGAAATAAACCGTCCGACTTACACTCAAGCTCGTGGAATAAATAACTATCATTTAATTAGAAAATATTTTTAAAATTTCGAAAACTGAAAGGAATTTCGAAAAATGTTACTTTTGATAAGCAGTCACATTTTAATTATTCTTTACGCTACACTAATTATTTTTAATTTTTTTCTTAAAGTAGTTAGTTTTTACGAAAAAAAACGCTTGGTTCCATACATTTTATTCATATACCAAGTGGCTTTAAATGTTAATCCTTCTATTTGTTATATTAGAATGTTTCAAGTGGCGACTAAATTTGTTGCTATAAAAGTTTGACGTTTGAATTCGAAAGTCAAGGTTGCCAAGTTAAAATTTTAAATTTGGCACCAACTTGGAGTAAAAAAATCACAATAATTTACAGTCCCCGGTATTAATTAATGCTGATTAAGTGATTAAGTTCATTGCAAAAATTGGAGTTGTTTAAACAAAAAAAAACCATTTTTTTCTTGTTAAATAGTTGCATGCTATTGGATTATTGCTCGATTTATAAACTAAGTTTACATAAAAAAATGTCCTACCTTTATAAACTTTGCCGAAGCAACCTTCGCCTATTTCGCTGATAAATTTAAGTGTTTCTTTTCGAAGTAGAGGAACTCCTGTTCCGGAACAGGCCGAATACTGGGGATTTGGAGCATATCTTTCGGCCATTAGTAAACTGTGTTTTAAATTTATAGGTGATACCTGAAAAAATAGGAAAGTATTTGAAACATGCAATTTTATACTACTTTGTGTTACTAGTGTGTATAATGTTTTGCCTAGATATGAAGTTGTAACATTGCGGTCATCCAATTCGATAAAAAAAACGTAAATAAGTAGTTGTATTTTTTTTAATTAATGAAGTAATAACGAGATAAACAAAATTGTTTCCTGTTTAATATTTTTTAATTAAAAAAATATTTACATACTTTTAAAATAATTTCAAGATAAAATTATTATCATTACATAAGACAGAAAGTGTATATTTTGTTATTCTACATGGCAGCCCCAAACAAAATATTAAGTTATTTAATTAAACCCACTCACAGTACTGGCATACGACAAAAACTAGGTTTACTTGAAATTCCATCAACTTACCCCTTCATTATTCGAATGCCTAGATCTCATTTTCTTCCAAAATATTATTCCTAACAACATTATTAATAAGAGAGACACTGAACCCAAAACTGAGACCATTATGTAGTTGGGTGCTGATAAGCTCTCACTAGCCGCAGTCTGCTCTTAAAAATAATTATTACTAAACATTTTTTTCGAATCACTTTGACTTACGATTGGAATTGTTGTGGAACTAAGTGATGAAGGTGTTTGTTTGTACGACGGGGGTTGAACATATGGAATAATGCCAGAACGGTCGACAGAAACTGTAACAAATCTGACAATTAAGACAAAATATTTGGTAAAAGAGTGGCTTGAAAATGTTTGATGCTTATTTGATAAAAAAAACACAAAATCAGATTTTTACATAAAGGCTTTGTTCTGCTTTCCAGTATGAATTTTCCTTTATTTTTTTCCATATTCATATTGCTTTGACGGTGTTTTATATTCTTAATTTGAATTTTTATATCCCTTGTTTCTGAATCAATGAATAAAAAGACTTTTGAATAGAAATTTTTAAAATAAAATTTTTAGAGGTGTAGAAAATATTTGCCTTGAGTGTTTTTTTTATAAGTAAGTATTTATAAATGTGTTCGCATCAACAGAGTTGGTGAAAATGTCTTATGCAACAAGTTGTAGATATCGAATTTCACGGTTGAGGCTTGTAAACATCTGTTTTCTATGATTTCCACCGTAATTATTCAACACAGAGTCGATTTTATTTGAAAAAGATGAATAAACGCATATTTATTTGACACGCAATAATATTTATGCTGCATTTTAGATCGTTGTGTTTCACTAAATTAGTGACATTTAAGTGAGCTTTTCAAATACTGCTTGCTACATATTAACTTATAACAATTTCATAAAAATGACTACAGAGTTAAACAATTATTGTTCCACAAAAATATTCATAATATTCATTTCAATTCAAATTTAAATCAATCATAAATTAAATTTTTGTTTTTAAATAATAAATAAGCCTACTAGAATTAAAAAAATAGGTACATACAATTTTTTGTTTGAATTTTATACAGGGTGATTCACGAGGAATAATGAGCCTAACCAAATTCTCAACATTACATTTTCATAGGTCAAGTAGATTTCAAAGATTTTTTGTAATAAATATAAAATCGTAGCGAGCACACTTACAATTTGTCAGTTTTGACATTAAAATAATGAAAAACAGAAGGTGTAATGGTGGTTGCATCAAGAATTTGGTCAGGCTCATTATTCCTCACCTTGTATAAATACATACAGGTTGAGTGATATAAATGCAGGGTGCACTCGCACACAAGAGAAAAATTTCAAGTAAGATAAGATACCAGGATCATGGAAAAAACGTTAAAAAATATATCTATAAAAATTTCGAAGTTATGAGCTTAAATTGTGCACTTTGATTCTATTTATCTCTGTTGAAAAACTAATTTTCCCAGTTTTATTCCTACAGGCTATTAGAAGAGGAAACAAGGAAGCTCTAGAGCTTATGTCATATCTGGTGGCGAACTGACAGTGACAGAAAAGACACTTGGAGTGCGCTCACTTGGTTAAGATAAAAAAATAAATGGGCGTACTTTTTTTTCTCTTAAAATTTTGAAGACAAGAATTGTTAGGAATATCATTTTTAAAATTCTTTTCATGCGTTAACAATTTAATAATTTGTTCATCATTCTTCATCTTATGTATGAGTACCAACTTATTATAAATTTATTAAAGAATAACAGTGGTTTTGAAATATTACTTCATACGACGCCTATGAACAATATTTTTTTTAATAGTAAACATACTCGTATGTTTAGTGTCAAAATTCAGTCATTTTTGACAACGTCAGTTCGCCACCAGATTGGTAACAAGCTCTACCCTAAATTGTAACTCTGTTTAGGTAATTTGTGGCTTTTATTGGCAAAATTTTTATATTTTTTATATAAATGTCCAAATTTTTTGCCAGAATTTTTTCTAGTTTCTGGTATCTTACTTAAACTTTTTTTCTGGGGCGCAAGTTCTGACACCTGTATAATAAAGACCCTAACCGATTTTCAGACGCAACCCAAAATACATTCTCAGTTGTACTGTTTTTTTTTTCAAAGTTATGAACATAGCTATAGGTATTTGCAATAGTTTTGACAGTTTTTATAAATTGGCGTCCTACGACGTACCCTTGACTGTCCACATTCAGCCCCAGTACTTTTGTAGCATTCTCCATATATCAAGATCATGTAGTTTTTTCGTTGTTTAAGTACATTTTGAATTTAAGGGAAAAAAGTGGTATTGATGACACTGTCATCAACAACTACTTTGATTTAAATTTAATCTAAATGTTTAAAACGCAACAAAAGCCAAGTTATCTATGAGAATGTTTTTTGGGTTGCATCATTTATTATAAATAATTCACCCTGTATTTTGACACAGATTTCAATTGTGCTTTTTTTGTACGCTGGTTCTTGCTTTCGCAAGAGAAGTTTAATATGGCTTTCCTTTGCTTTCCTATAAATTATGACTTCTTTTAATCGATTTTTGTTCTGCAAATTGAGCTAATTTGGTTGAAGGGGACATCCGAAAACTGCGGTCAAAATTTCAATGGGTAAAAGAGTAATTACTTCTAATTAGAACCGAAAATTTTCGCGTCGGAACTGCGGTCGGTGTCTAGAACCCCGGGGAGTTTTAAGCTTTTAAGCTCGTAATACTTTTATAGCAAATATCACCCTCGGATGGTGTCACAGAGGAGAGAGAGGAGAGAAATTTTCATTGATTGATTTTTTTAGCCTTGTAGATTATAGAAGATTATAGAATTTGGAAACCAGCTCGACTTTTCCCGTAAAAATTAAAAATTTTTAGCTAGCTTATAATTATTCGATCTGAATGCAAATATCCCCGCTCTCTGTGACGAGGCACTAATCCTTAGGTCCGTCCACAATCGGACCTAAAAAAAATGTGTTTTTTATTTTGATACTTTTTGTTACAAAAAAAACTACAGATTAGTGATACTTTTAATTAAGGAATGAAAAAATATAGGGTGCGCTAGAACTCGCGCCCCTGAGAAAAATTTCAAGTAAGATAAGATACCAGGAACATGAAAAAAATGTTTAAAAAATTCTATCTGTCAAAAAATTTTGACATATATTTTTTGACATTTGACATTTTTTCATGTCTATTTAATGATACTGATGATCTTGTATATGTTTTTTTACAAATATTTAGTAATGGCACAAAAATTTTGCCAATAAAAGCCACAAATAACATTGAACAGAGTTACAATTTAGGGTACTATTTCCTTATTTCATCTTCTAATAATAGACTGTAGCAAAAAAACTTGGAAAATTATTTTTTCAACAGAAATAAATAGAGCCAAAGTGCAAAATTTAAACTCTCATAACTTCGAAATTTTTATAGATAAAATTTTTTAAACATTTTTTCCATGTTCCTAGTATCTTACCTTATATGGTATTATATTTTTCTCTGGGGCGCAAGTTCTGGCGCACCCTGTATGTACTTGTCCAAAAATACTGAAAACAAAGACTAAAAATGTAGTGCTGTGGTGCACTTGATCAAAACAATTATTCAATAATTTTCAATTATTCGCTGTAAATCTTAAAAGCTGGGATATTTTTTTCAATGAAACTAACAATTTTCTATAGAATACCATATTCTAATCCTAGGAAACCAGGGATAGAAAATGTTATTTTGAGAAAAAAAGATTAAATAAACTTTAACATTAAGTATACAAGTTTATTCAATTTTTTTTACCTAATTACTCTCTAGCTTTTAATTTCGAAGTATTTTAATAAATACAGTATAAGGAGTTCCCAAAAGCACGCCGCCACACGTCAACCAGAAACAGAAAGTGTCATTCAAAGAAAAAAAGTTATTTTTTATTAAATATTTTATATTATATATTATATATTTTTTCTATCTTCATTCGTTAAAGAGTTACAGCTTAACAACAAATAACAGTAATGAATTTTGTACGATAAAATAAAAACGATGACATTTACAAAACAATTACTTAATTCAAAATCTCATTTGATTGAAACTGTCAATATGACATAAACATAAACATGAGTTTTAAAACGATTCATTTATAAGATAAAAAGAACTTTAATTAGAATAAATTAAGAATTAAGTAAAAACATATTGAGTACAAAAATTGCTTAAAATGCCAGCCAACTAAGGAAGTGTTCCATAAATGTCATCATTTTTAATTTATAACGACAAAGTTATACAAAATTCATATTTTTTGCTAAGCTGTAACTTTTTAACGAATGAAGACAAAAATTTATTTAAAACTTTATTTCGCAGAATGACATTTTCTACATCTGTTATTCGATTAAAATACTTCGAACTTAAAAGCTACATAGTCAATTATGTAAACACAATTAATCTAAGTAAAAGAATTGGAATAGATTTTGTATACCTAATGGTATATTTTCGGATCACTTTCGGTATTCTAGTTTTGAATTGATTTTAATTGCAGTCTTTATCTAAAACTGTCACAAGTTGTATATACAGCTGGCGGAACAAATTTTCAATCCATTCGTTTTTGATAAAGATTTATGATATTCAATAAGAGAGTTTTAATAATATGTTCGAAAAACTGTAATAAAGAATAAAAAGTGCCATTATTGGCTAATACGCATGCAGTTATTTATAGTAGGTGTAAAAATACAATGAATCCGTCTGTCATACCTGTCCTCCTTGGGCAGATACCTTTGGCTGTGGGCGGCCGTGAATCATGTGTACAAATACACGTGTGCGTATTATTTCGGTAATCCTTGCAGGCAGCTTCTTCGCCGCACACTCCTATCCTGCATGGTCCATCCTTAATAACCACAACTCTCGGTTCTGAAACTAACAAAAAACATCATATAGCAGATAATTTGTAAACAACCGCAAGTCTGAAATGTGCTTCTGGCTTTCGACAAGCTTCCAGATGTTAATAACACTAATTTCAGTTTTTGCTCGTTTGCAAAAAGGACGAATTGCCACTTTTTTACTTCAAGTTGAATTGAGAAATCTTAAGACAAAAAAGCAAAATTGTGGCCGACTTTATTGAGCTTGAAGTTCCGACGAGGACTTGTTCAAAGAGTGCTATTGTGTTTCGGTTTCAACATATCATCAGTGTCGGTGATTATTTCATATCTGAAGGTCTTGTAACGGACAAGGGAGTAATTGCACATCATGTTTGACGAAGAAGCCGTTCAAAGCCCATGCGAAGAATTACTCTTGCATTGACGACCTCCGGCGCCACAGAAGTTTAGATTAAATTAAGATGAAAGAAGTTCAACATGAGCAAAGCAAATACGATTATTACTTAATTGCATTAATCACCAACAAAACATTTTTTAAACACAAAAGTAAGTGTCAACCATTCATTAAATTTGGATTCTACTCTAACTTGCAACAGGTGGTGGAATAAAATCGCTGAAAATTGTTGTCCGAAGGGCCGTTAACTTGAAAAAAATGTGTACAACTAATTACAATTCCAAAAAAAAATCCACCGAAATTGTAGTAATCAAAAAAAATCCAGTAATTCTAATAATCTATCGCATTGTTTTCAGATTAATTCCTATAATTCCAACTTAATTTTTGTAATTCGATAATAATTCCGATAGTTATAAGAAATTCAACGTAATGTTCAAAAGAATGTTTTTTCCGATAATTCCAAAAACAATGCCAATAATTCCAAAAAGAATTTCAGTAATTTTGTTTTTAGATTAATTCCTGTAATTACAACTTAATTTTTGTTATTTCAAATAAATTCCAATAGTTCTAAGAAATTCAACAAAAGAAATTACCTCCGATCTCTATTAATTTCAAAAAAAATTCCAGTAATTTCTGAAAAAAATACAGTAATTTCAATAAAATCCTACCGAAATTCCAGTTATTTTAATAATCCATCCTAATTCTATTGTTTTCAGATTAATTCCCTCTTAATTTTCGTAATTCCAAATTAATTCCTATCCAACGTAATTTTCAAAAGAAATTATCTCTAATCTCTGTTAATTTCAAAAAGAATTCCAGTAATTTCAAAAAAATTCCACCGATATTGCAGTTATCCAATAATCCATCGTAATTCTATATTGTTTTCAGATTAATTCCCTCTTAATTTTCGTAATTCCAAATTAATTTCTATAGTTCTAAGAAATCCAACGTAATTTTCAAAAGAAATTATCTGCGATAATTCTAAAAAAAATCTACCGAAATTTCAGTGATTTCAATAATCCATCGAAATTTTATTGTTTTCATATTAATTTCATAATTCCCAATTAATTGGGAACAATTAATTTCAGAGTTAACGGTCCCTCGTTGTTGCCCTTTGGTGTTCCTAAATACCAAAGAATATTTTTAGAAAAATAAATGTTGTGCTAAATTTAGTCGATCAGGTAATTTATATCCCCGATGTCCAGTTCTTTATTCTCTGTTATCGAGAAAAAATACATGCAGCTTGCCTAAAAAAGGTGTACAAGCTTTTGCTTAATATATTTTATTTACGTCACTGCGCTACATGTTCACATTTTAAATGCAACTTTTAACAAGTTCCATGTAAGTGCATTTTATAAAAATCCAAGTTGAAGTATTTAAGTGCATTTTATTTTATTTTCAGCTTTCAGCAGTTGAATAATTGCGCTGCTTAAACCGTAAATGTGAAAACATAATTGTAACTACCTGTGTTAAATGGCCATCATTCATCACTGAAGGATTTACTGCACCTTATTTTGATTAATAATCACTCTTGACACAAAGCTTTTATCGTCATTGAGACATTGACTGAAAAAAATGTTTGATGGAATTTCGCCTATTCTTGGATTCTTTTTTTTACGTTTACACAAAACAAATAGTATCGACTCTTAAATCAATATCCTTTTATTCAATATCCGTTTATTTAATCTCCGCTCAGTATGAAAACTGTTTTATTGGAATTTAGGGCTTTGCTGCAGTAATGAATTTTTAGATTCTTCACGCGCTAATGAACAGTGGGTACGAGTAATGGCCATAAACACCGACTTAATGAAAATTAAAGGAGAGATTTAATATTATGTATGGTTAGTTTGTAGTTGATTTCGTACTTGGATGGGGCGCTTTGCTACTTTTGTAATTAAAATTACATTTTATAGGATAAAAAACATCTATAACTTTTTTATTTTCTCGTATAATTACTGGAAATTGTATTTCTTCAGATTATCATTTCAAATAATGATTCGGGTTTATTACGTAGAACCCGGGCAAGATAATTTTTTTCTTTTCATAATATATTATAAATCAATGTGCTGATAGGGCCCACGGCTTCACTAAATTATTTCTCTCATAGTAATTAATCATCCTGTCTTGATGTTACCGGCACACCAAAGCAAGATTCTTGAGGCACCTTAATTTTAGTTTTAATTGATTTTTTCTTTTGATTACATTTGTCACTTTCGTAATAAATAAAACGTTGCTCATTTATTATGCACCTTTTGGAGAATGCCTATTGTTTTGAACAAAACACAATTAAATTCGTAAGTCATGAATAATTTCAAATAAATTAATACAATTTAGATTTGTGCCCTCTGAAGCAATACCTTCAGCTAAATTTTTGCATGCATTTGTCCTATATAAGGGCATATGCTATATAGAAACCGATATTATACCATGAAATGTAAATTTGACATGTATCTAAGCGTTTTAACGACATGTTCTGAGCCTAATTTGCATTTTACAGTGATCGCAGTACATATACTAGAAATGTAATGAGATCTTAGATATTGCACCGCCTCTTAGCTCGGTTTTTGCTATTACACAATAAATATACCTTACACGTTGTTGCGAAAATATCAACATTCAAGTTTTTGATTTTTATTACATAGGTATTTTTGTTTAAATCTATAGTGACGTTTTCTATGCAAGTAACTTTTGCAGTTTGTAGTTTAGAAAAGAATTTGTATACAGTTCTACTTAGTTATAGTTACTGTAATACGTACAGGGTGCTTCACATAATTTTACGAGGCCTGCGCCTGTAAGATGCAATCAATAATACGTATTCCGATACGAACTCAATTACAAATTTTGAAAAATTGGATAATGTTCTCTAGTTTGTTCACCCTTTAAAAAATTACAACGTTTTTTGTTAGTTAGTGATTAAAATAGATAAACTAGAATCATATTCATGCGGTCTCTTGATAGGACAAATGATAATTGTTTCTGAAAAACTGCAGTTTATGACTATTAATGAAACAGTGATTAGTTTGACAACTACTGTCATGGGTTTCCAAAAATTAAATAATTAAATGTGAATTTTTTGTATCCAGTGTTTTGTGACTTTTGTATATTTGGGTGCATACATTAGACGCAAACCTCGTAAAGTTGTGTGAAACACCTTGTATAAAAGTATGGAACCAAGTGTTTTTTTTTAATCATTTGCCTCCAGAAAATAATAATTAGTATACATTAAAGTAATATAAAAAATGTGATCGTATTTTGAAAAGGAAATTGTGTTTTGTTTTTGGGATATGCGATGTTTTTGTCAAATTTGCAATTTATCTATAGGTGTCCCAAGTTTTAGGCCCGTCGCAAAAATAAATATTTCTAATTGATTAAAAAAAAACGATAGAGGCTTATATAGACTTTAATTTGATGCTTTAATATTGTTCAAAATTTTTAGCGTACCTAAGTCAGTAAGACCCTAAAAACCAAGTTTGGAAAAAAAATATTAATTGGAATCTTTTCTACATGATAAAATTCCTTGATTTTTTCTAATAATAACTGTGAAAATTGAATAATGTAAAAGTTGATAGATTTTGAGTACCTAATATTTTAATATTGAAAATTAGGAATTTTGGTAATTTATGGCCAAGTTTGGAATGATGTGCTGCTAATGCATTGACAATAGGTTGAAGGCTTCACAATACGTCATAAATGTCATTGCCGACCTTTTTTTTTGTCAATAAATTCTGACCTGATCACCAATTACCGCAAACCCCCCCATAAATTATTTTTCAGATTTTCAATATTAAAATGTTAATTATTCAAAACCTATCGACTATTACACTATTTTCACAAATACCACAGAAAAAAATCAAAGAATTTTATCGTGTAGAAAATATTCCAGTTAATTGAAATTTTTTTTCTCCAAATTTAATTCTCACGCCATACGCTAAAAATTTTCTACAATATCAAGACATCAAATTAAAGTGTATTTAATCGTTTACACTATCAAAATTCTTTTTTAATTAATTACAAATATTAATTTTTGCGATTAAATTAAAAAAAAATATATATATATAAAGTAGATAATTGTAATGCTTAGATCATAACCTTTATGAGAAAAATGGTTTTATATGGGATTGCCATTTAAAAAAATAAAAAAAATTGTAGAACTCAAACAAAAGAAAATATCGAAAAATTTTATTCTTGATAAAACATCACATTTTTATAGTAACATTCATAAATTAGTTTTTCCAAAAAATAAATGGTGTAAGCAAAAAAAGTTTGGTTATATTCATCTGATATAATTTTTCCTACGATCCTGAAACAAAAATTTCAAACTAATAATTTCCTAATAATGTAATTTAATGTTTTTTTTTTTGTTTTTATGGGGGGATAGAATCTTTACCTCTCTGGAAGGTAATTGGCCAATTTTTTTTTCTGAAATTAGGGAGGAAAAACTTACTTTCTGTTAGGATCGTAGAAAAAATACTTTACTCAAACAATCTTAAATACATTTAACTGTTGACTCAAGGCGCTGGTCGTTCGATTTGCAGAGTAATCGAGTGCAAACATCACTTTGTGCACATATTCGAAAGCTCTGTTATGCACGAATAAGTATAAAGCAAAGATCAGCGAAGCACATAAATCGAGAGACCAGAACTAGA